AATGACAGAGTTTTTTTAATTTTTTTTTTTTTTAATTACTGCCCATGAGGTTGTACTTACTGCAATAAAGACAGCACTGTTTGGGGTTTTTTCCTAAATAGGACTTGGGTTAAAATCTCAAATCTTGTGTTTTGGAGCAGGTTTTGAGAAACTCCAGACACTATTTGACCAAAAACTATGTGAAAAATAGGAACACTTAGTGTTTCAACCAGTTCTTAATATGTTTTATCTCGATTGTATAGTCTGTTTAAAAGTTTCAATAAGATTATTTCCAAATGTTTAAAAAAATCTTATTCCTCGGGCAGTTTTGAAAACTTTGTATCCTACAATTTAAGTGCTATGAAACTTAATGTAATATAAGATTTTGGGTGGGCTGGTACATGCTAACACTGCAGAAGTGTATAATAGACCTAGCCATGGTAAGTGCTACATGATTATCTGAAATTAGATCTTCACATGAAATGACTTTTTTTTTTCTGGAAGTATTTATTACTGGACTTTCTCCTATATATATGTCCTTGGAAGAATTCATCATTTTGGTTAGCTTTCAGAATAACCAACCAGTTTTCAGATATAGGTTCTTTCTTTTGCGAGTAGCTGGAAAACAGTACCGAAAATAGAGACTCTGTGGGGGGAGAAAAGGCATGTTCTGAGATAAGTTGTTACTTGGTGGTGCCTTAATTAAAACTAGCAAATACTTAAAATGTTGAAATTCTATTGCCACTTTAGTCCTAATGTGATAATCCAACCAATAAACCTTTAACACAAGAGGAAGAGAATAGAACCTCAAAGCGTTTGAAACTGGGGTTGTGACATAATTCTTTTTTCCCCTTGTCATACAATTTTGCAAGAAAAATACAATCTGATAATGCCTACAAAGATTAAAGATGGTCTTTTCTTAGCAGGAGAGAGAAAGTTAAAAAGTAATTGAGATGAACAGGATCTGCTAATGCAAAAGATGATACAGATGGGGAGAAAAGCTTCCAAGCCCTACACTGATCCTTACTTGCAGCAGAAATCCAGGCATGTCACAAAGGCCTGTGTGGAGTCCTCTCTACCTGCTGGCTTTGCAAAATCCCTTTAAAAGGGGGACTGAGTGAATAGTGCATTCCTGTTACTATTTTTTCCCTCAAATTGGACTAATTTTCCACACATTCTTGTCAGTTTTCTCATTCCTTTATGGTTTGGTTTGGTTTGCCAGACGTAATGGTAACAGATGGTCTGAATCAACCTTGCTGTTTAGACTAGGTCGGTCTCATTTTAGCTGATTTTTATAAACAGTTTTATGGAGCAGGTTGAGAAGCTTTTTTTGTTTCTTTGCTTCTTACTGCATTTGCTTCTGTCAAACATTTGTCAACAACAGTAGCAACTGTGCTCTCTGAGCTTCTTGCTGGGCAGTACCTCAGAAATGAGTCCTTGTTTCTGGCAACTTCCAGTTTTTGCTTCACTGCTCCTTACTAAGAAGCCAAAGCATTTGGGTTGCCAAGTACTGGGAAAGTGCCAATTGTTTTTGTTCTAAATGAAAAGCTACACCTATTCAGCTAATACCATGGCAGAGGCAGAGGTTCTCTCTCTTTTTCACCTGCTTTTCAGAATCTGTGCACGCTCATCAGTGCAGCCAGTAAGCTGGTTCAACTGCAGCATCTCTGGGAGACAAAAGATTCCGGACAAGCGAGCGCCCTGACCTGGGGCATGTCTGTGTACGCCTCTGCAAGTAAGCTATGGACAACTTGGTGTGAACTACTGAGTTCTCCTAATTCCTTTTCTCATAGGTCTTTACTCAAGCATAGCAGGTAAAGGTCTTGCCTTAGTTTCCCTCAGTGCTGACGCCTGGGTCTCAGATAACACACAGTCTCTTGAAAACAAGTTCTATCCTTGACACCAATGATAAAAACCAATGACTTGAAGAGTGAATATGACCAAGGGAACTGGAATTGAAATAAATGAAAGGCTGTCTTTATGAGGAAAATTTTTCCATGTTCTATGATTTAATAAAGTTACTAGTAGTCCAGCATGAAAAGGTGCTAAAATTTCAGGTATACAGTCAAACAATGCTAATTTTGAAAAGCTGTCTACAAATAAATACACACTTAATGATAAATACCTTTAGCTCTATGGGTACTTGTAATTACACTTCTTGACAGAATTCATGAACAGTCATTTGTGGAGTTCCTGTGGCGATTCCCTAGTGGTCTGCATGAACAGCTGTTTGTCAGAAGTGCCTTTTGCATCTTCACAAAACTCATTTAAAATATTCTCACTATAAAACTCATCATCCAGTGATGCTGGATCTATTTCCACATGAAAAAAAAATCAGTAATTAGAAGTTGTGGTGAACAGTGACAGTAAACTTTGTAAATGCTTTTACTCTGCTGCAAGTGTGAAATAATTAACATTTAGGTTCCTTGTGTGAAGGGAAGCTGAATCCCTTGTATTTGCAAAATGTGAAGGCGCACACGTGAACATTCCCAATGGTTAATTCATGCTGACTTAACTGTGGGAGTAGCTCACTGTCAGCTCCTGAAGGAGGGGCTGAACAGAAAGAAAAGCAATAAACTGACCACATCCAATCTAGCATGATGGATGTAAAAATTCTAATTATATCTGTGATTTTCTCATTTAAAAATCCCCTTAATATATTGTCAGTCAGCTTTGAGAGCTTGATCTCTGAAGCCAAAATAGTGAAGAGTGGACACACTAAAAGTAGGAATATGTACAGTATATATTTTCATGCAAGATTATCTTCTGTTGAAAACCAGATATTTCACAATTTTTCTAAAGTATGTGTCCTATGTGTTCCACTAATCAGAATTCATTCAATTTACAGCAAGAATCATTACAACTTTAATGACTACAAATGATCGCGCAGGTGAGTGAAGTATGGAATTCTCTGCCTTTCCAAGGGAACAGCTGCCACAGCGGTTTTTAGTTGTTTTGTAAAACATGTAGAAAGTCTCACAAGAACAAACCATGAACGTGATAGGTTAGCATGGTAGGGCAGGAGTTACACAGGATTAGAAATCAGGCAAAGACATCAAGAAAAAAAAAAAAGCCAGAAAACTGCTTACACTTGTCATGTAGTGCAACTGGTCCAAAAGACTTTTTTTTTCTCAAATGGCAAAAGCACCCAAAATTAATTCTGAAAATAGCAGAATAAAGTATTAAAATATTTACTATTTTAACAAATAACTAAATGTAGTAAAATACAACTTTAAAAAGCCTGTAGTAATTGAATGAGATTTTCAAGTAATAAGTATTTCACTTATTGACAGCTTTTTGAATTAAAAAATTCTTCTAGAAAACTAAAGTTCAGCTTAGTATGTGAACAGTTTTAGGTCCAACATTCAGAAAATTTATGACAGGCTGAAAATGAAATGGTAGGCTGGTAAGAAATTTTCAAAAACTGACTTAAAATATATAATTTCCAGCAAATTATAAAGCAGATTTATATAACAGCTTCTTACTGTCCTCCTGAGAGAACCACAAGAGCTAGGGAATGTCACAGATTTTTCAGTCAATTGTTCAAAATCAAGGCTTGATGGATGCAAGAACAAGTAACAATCCCTTTGTACTTTGTCTGTTGGTTCCATGTTCTCGTTCAAAACTATTTAATCAGAAACATCACTTGAATGGATTTTGTAATTTTTAAGCAGCCTCTGCAGCTCAGTAAAGCTGTAGCTGTGCAAGCATTTCAAGTGGGTCTTTCACTGGAAAAGGAAGTCCCATTTCTGGCCCACACTTCCACCCCCATCTTGCTGCTTTTTCTTTGCCAAGGTAAGGGGTCTGTGGGGCTTGCAGTTAACTGGTCACCAAAGATTAGGCAAAATGCTCATGCAGGGATTTGTCAGGCTCAGGTACTGAGTCCACATCACCCACAGCTACACATTTACACTGAGGGGAAGGGAGGGGTTCACTGGGGAGGGAGGAAACAGCAGGAAAGCAAAGCTGGCGCTGGGTAAAGCTGCTGTTTGAAACACAGCACCATCCACTGTGGCACATGGGAGGGCCAGCAGCAAACACTGATGCTGTGCTGCTCTAATGGAAAATGTTTCCAATTCAGTTGCAACACTGAACACATTGACACAGTCAGATATCACATAGTTCTGAAACAAAGTTTTGTGTACGTTTCTGTGAATATTCCACCTACCAAATGGACATCAGACATACCTATCAGACATACCTACTTTAAATACCTCATCACAGGTAGAGGTACCATGCTGTTATGGTTTTGAAGCTGAGTTAACTCAGGTACTGAAAAACTGCTTTTTTGTCAGTTGTCAGATTTTCTGTCATTAAAGTCTAAACTTAAGAGATAGCAGTAGAGAGTAGTTCCTTTATTATAAATAACACATGCAACTACAAAAGACATGTGAGCTGTGACTCTGAATTTAGCTTTTGGTGTACATATAAATTTATATGAGGCTTCTCATGCTTGTACTATTCTCCAGGTTACTAAAGAATGAAAGGTACTGGAGTTTATAATTTTGAGCTATCTCTGAAAGTGATCAAGTGCTAAATGCTGTTTTCTCTTGGATTCATGCTCAGAATGTGTGGGTTCCTGAACATGGTAATTGAACTAATTGTCTGAAAACAGTTTCCAAATGTGAACCAGCCTGTGTGTACACAAGCAAAAGTGTACAAACCAGTGTTGTAACAGCAGTAGGTTTTTTTGATTCATGCTTACAATATTTTTTTTCTCTTTTAGTTCTCATCCGTTTCATAGTCATGCTCATTCTCAATATTTGGGTCACAGCCACAATCCTGCACTACAGGAAGACTAAAAAGACTGATTAGACAACACTCATCAGCACACATATCATTACCATAAAAAAATATAATTAAGCCTATAGAATTTAAGAATTCTTCAAAGATTGAGGAAGCTCTCTTTCTCTAATATTTACCCTTTAGCGTACTTAATAGTATTTACAGTACTTACAGACTTACAGTATAGTACATTCATGCTTACTTTATCTTAGAAATAATTCTGATAAGATACTTAATTTAAGCAGCATATTTTTATTGGTCATTTCAGACAAGTTTCACTGATATCACATTTTCTCTGGATTTTTTTAACTACAAGGTATTTCATAGTTAGATGTATATATATTCTGGTATCACTTCAGTACTTTCTGGTTACATATAAGCAATTTTTGTCAATTATACATGATCAATTTTGCACCAACATACTGACTTGTCCTGCTGCAAGACTAAAAAATCACAACAGAAGTTTGTCTTCTTCTTGCAAGCAACTGAATTAGTTCAACATTAACTGTCTGTATTTTAGGATGAAGAAAATCTCAGTCAAGGCCCAATCCAGAATAAGGTTCTAATTACTAAATCACAAATCCAGTTGGGATTGTAGCACTTACATGCAACACTAAAATAGTACAATTTATACAGCTGATACAGGATACCCATAGTCACTTTCCTCAGTATACCCAGTTTTTTATTGGATAAGAGAGCAAAAACTCAACTACGAATTATTTTTCGTAACCTGAGCTCTCATTCACTGAACATACTGTTTTGAGAACAGCAGGGACTACAATGTATGGGAATTAATGAAACTGTGGCCAACAGTTAAAAATGCTGTTCAAGCAGAAGTTCCTGGAATGATACCCAGAATTTCCAAACACCATTCATACTGACAGTGACATGTGCACCTTGATGCATCTCAGCAGACTGATCTCCTGTGGTTGTCAGGTTTTGGTGATAGTGCTCTGTGGTTCACGAATTTTTGGCCTGTCAGTGCTAAGTGTGTTGAAGAACATAGACTTCACTTAAACTTTTACTTCAGAAATTCTAGTCAATTTGTAGTACTAAGAGTAAAAAGGGGGAAAAGATATTCTTGACAACTATTAACAGAGGATTTTGGTTTTAGAAGTACTGCCTTCACAACCAAAAGTTACATTAGTAATCATATAGCTTGCCTTCATTTATCATTACATTCCCCAAAATTAAAATATACAACATTCCAAGAGTTCTTACAGTATTCTGTGATTGGCATGTAAAAACCTAGGCACCCTTGATCCCAACACCCTTGAAAACTATGGGAAGACTGCATTGACTTCATTTGAGGCAGGTTTTCGTCGCAACATTCTAAACTGTGTGACTGCTCTGGAGCAAAGGGATCTGGAAAGCAGATGTTCCTGCCAGTGAGCACGCAGCAATTGGAGCATTCACCATCAGAAAACAGCTGCTTCATACTCTAAATTTTAGGGGGAAGGGCTGGGAAAAGATGTGTCTGTGGGAATTGATTTCATGTATCCCACGTTACTGAGAGCAAGTCAAAGATGAGATTTTTTTTACTGCTCCAATAAAAAGTCTAAATCTTTCTGTGTTGGTTGAAAGATTCATTGTAAACATTCTGATTTTATTAAAGCTGTGTAAAGTATCTGAAGTGGTCTAAACAGTGGTAGGTGGCATGTGATACATTTTCCAGGTGATACGAATAAATGTTATTCTTCAAGGTTGATAGTGTCATTCTTACAGTTAATTTTCATTGCATTTGAGTTTTTATTGTTTCCATATATGGAGAGAAAATGAAATATTCATTACAGGTCATAAATGGGCAGCTTTCACCTTAACACTTGAAGCATCAGGCTGAATATTGACCTGCCAAATGCTACAGAGCTCCAGCATCTTAAAATGAAAAAAACACACTTGCTTGTTAATTAAAGCCTTTTCTTGATAGAGAAAGATTTGTATTGAATCCAAACCCTCTCTGTTATTGATATCTTTCACACTCCTGAATGATGCTGTAGCAAGATGAAGCTGCTCCATTTTTGGTTTGAGAATCAGCACCTCAAGATGGTTTTTTATCATAAAATACTGAAAATGCATTTAAGAACAGTTTTTAATAGGTTACTTAATGCATTTTAATAAATCACCTTAGAAACCTGTGGGAAAAAAAGATTGAGGAAAACAAATAAAGGTGTGTAATTAATGAACTTAAGGTAAAGTAATTTTGTGGACTTGGAAAGCTGGACCATGAGTTCTCATTCAAGCTGCAAGAGATATGGAACAAATCAGGAACTAGCAGTAAATAGTTTTACACACTTTTTCCTCTCTCAGAGAGTAACTTCTTTCACTTTCATAAACAGAGGCACATTCAAATTCCAGGCAAGCCCCATGAAAGCGCAGACACTGTGTTTTCCAGTAGGTAAAGAATAATCTTCTCAGTGGCTGGATTAAAGGCAACAGCTTTAGACAAATACATAGGCAGGATAAATCTTGTTAAACTCTCATTCACCAGTATCGGGGTGGAAACAGGGAGGTCATTTGCTGTGTAATGCAGCAGCAGGGCAAAAGCAAGCAGGGAAAGCATCTTGGATTTATGGCAGAAGGTGTAAGCAAGTAAGCAGCTCTTGTCCACAGAGCTGTAACTAATCCAACTCCATTCACAGATGCTGTATAGGTGTGGAATTACACACTCGGTGTCTAATTGTACCAGTTCACAACATGCTCACAAGGTAACACACCCTGTCCTGCCCTGGCTGACAAAGTGTGTCTTGCTGGGGCTTTCAAAAACTTTGAGTCTTCTTGTCAGTGAGAAGACAAGCTCTGAGTACCAGTACAGTCCACTAAATAACCCCAAGTACCTCCAGCAGCGGCTGTGATGAACTGTGACTCGATTTGGCAGCAGGTAAGCGAGAAGCTCACTCAGCTGTATGAGAGAGAAAACATTTACCATGAGATTCGCTATGGAAAGGATGAGGATGAGTCCAGGGACAGCAGGCTGCAGGTCTGGACATGGATGTGGACAGTGGAAGATGAGTATAGTTTATTTTTTCTGCCCTGCCCTCAGTGAACAGAGCACTGAACACAAATGCAGAACCATCCTCTCCCCACCCTATGGCCTCCCTTAGCACTGGGCATTCTGTGCAAAGCGGACACAGCCGTCTTTCCTTGTGCTGCTCCAATCCAGCAGGGGATGCGACTGCTGGGACTGCTCAGGAGTCCCTGTCCCTGCCTGACCCCTGAGCCTGTCTACACTGTGCACGTGGCTGCTCCCGATCCTGGCTCTGCTCACCTGATCTACTGAACCACGAGAGAACGGAGTGGGGTGGGGAGGCAGTGACAGCCCCCAACTGCTGCAGATTGAGAGCTGGATTTTAGTGCAGGTTGACTCTGGAGAAAGTAATTCAGAATTAGCTGAATGGCGCCAATCTTGTAGAACACCTTCACTTACTTCTTTAAATGAGGTAAAATTACTCTTCCTCCACCAAACAATCATCCATTTAGTGACATATGTAATAAGGGGAAAATAAAAAAAGGAAATAACAGTGGAGTCCACACAAAGAACTATTATAAATTAAAAACTCCACAGATGTGGAGATAACTGAAATGAGGTAGTTTCCCAGCCATGTATTTTCCCTGATGATAAATAATAATGACTTCCCTCCAAATATCTCTTCAGACTGTTTTTTCCACTCTCTTCCAAATTCTTCCATACTTGAAATTCATATTTATGTACGAAGCAGAACATGAAATGTCACCTTCACAATAAGGGCCTAAGGATGTCTCACTTTTGAAGGTGAGGAAGCTGAAAAAAAATCTTAAAATAGGATGTTCTAAAGTTCTTGGTTTGCACTAAATTTCATTTGCTGGATTTTGAGCCAGGGTTCTCCAGGACACTTCAGAGTTCTCGGTGATGACAACTGTTGATGTCAGACAGGTGCCTGGGAGCCACAGAGAACGTCACTGTAAGAATCTGACAGATCATCACTTGTTATGGATCCGATTACAAGACCCTGCCAGCCTCACAGACCTGAGTCCTGATGGACCTCAGGTGTTTCGGGCCTAATGGCAAGAGAGACATACAGACATTTTCAAGTTAAAGGTGTCAGCTATTCCATTCTACATGGGCAGCAGTTTGGGGCAACCATCTCTGTCTTGGAAAAAAATTCAATCTTTGGGTCAGGGGTAAAATAAGATATTTTTACATCATAGTTTTGATGAAATTTAATTTTGGATACCTGAAGAACAGTTTTAAATAATTGTCACAATTTTGTTCATACCCTATTTTGTTTCATTATTTCATCTTACAACTTTCTTAAATTGTCAGAAGCCTAAACAGGTACCTCTGTGCATTATGTGGTATCACTGACTCACAGGGCAGACACCTTGTTTTATCTGTCAAGTTGTCAAGTGTTCTGGAAAATGATGTAAAGGACAGAACCTGCACCAGCCTAAAATGTGACAAGTTAAATTGGCTAATGATAATTCTGATTCAAACTCTGTAGTAACATGGCTCCATGCTGAAAATCAATTCTATTTACCACCTTACTATAATTGCAAGTCACTGCTCTGGAATGTACAAGATTTCTGCTTTGGAATGGGAAGGCTTTGGCCAGCAGTACCAAGACTCATACTATATGAAAATCATAAATGGAATAACACACATCCTATGCCTCAGTGTTGCCTCTATCAGGTAAATCCTAATGTAGCACTAATTGAGCTTCTATAAAACATATTTTAAATAATTACTGGAGAGAAATTTTTTTACCTTTGAACAGCTGACTATATACAGATCCTGTAGAGTAGTCTTTCAAGAGTCTGACTTGAGATTTATTTTTTTTCCCCCCCGTGAATTGCACTGTCAGCACAACTTACAGTCCTCATGGACTCTCTGAGCTTGTGGGTACTTTACTCTCTCAGCCTTGTTGGTTTTTTTTTTTAGTTGGCACAAATGCCCACCTTTCAGTAATACAACTCCCACTGCTGTAGTTTAGAACAAATCTGACAGGGGAGCCTCCCGCCATGGCTCTGGATTGGACTAAAGGCTACACAGATCCTACTGAGTCTCAGTGGCCCCCAGGACACAGGGATTGTATTATGCTGGAAAACGTCACACACACACAAGAGACCATGGGATCCAGCAAGCAGATTCAAGTCCTGAAGCTGCAGCCAGACCTGCACCCAGCTGTAAGACCTGCTCCAAGAGCCCAGCAGAAAATGGAGCAGCTGAGGTGAGAGACAGTGCAAGGCGAGCCAATATGAAACAGGGCTCAGAGCTCAGGTGGGGTACCCAGCTCCTTCAGTCCTAAAAAGATTAAGGGATTTAATATCTCAGATAACTCCAAAAAAAGTATCTACCATTTAACTTGTTAATAAAAAGTAGCACATATTGAAGGCAATTCAGTGTCCAAAGTCTAAGCAGTTGGTGATCCAAAGGACAAGAGGACTGGCTGTGATCTCAGAAGCCTGGTGTACTTATCGCTGGATAGCCATGCTTATCAAGTGGTGCAAGAGCATCCTGGGCAAAAACCACCCCAAACAGTAATGAAAAATGACAAGAACTACATGACATGAGGCCCACAGGGACAATATAAGACTATGCATAGAAGCAGGCACACATCTCTGAACAAACACTGAAGGCCTCGACCTTAAAATGAAGTGGTAGGACTGAAGCATCCCATGCAGTTGTCTTGGCTGTGGAAGCATTTCTGTGCAGCTCCTCCAACAAGTAAGGGCTGCAGGGACATGGCATTATTGGACTCCCTGCCCTTTCTTTTCAGGGTGATGTGTCTTTCCAGAGTTCTTTAAGGTATCAGGACTACATACACTTATAACTGAAATTTCATGATCTTTCACCATGACTTTCATTTTGAAAGATCACTTTAATCTTACAGCTTCTACAAAATTATTGGAGCAAAAGCAGCTGCAGTCAAATCCAAGGCTTCCCCCTTGCAATATCAAGATGTGGCTTTCTTACCTTTATAAAACACTGCTTCCTGTCTACAAAGTGGCAGATACCAAACTCCAATTTTCATTAATAAGACCTGGTAATTAGCATCCCTGTGCCAACACATTATTTTCTCTACATCCCCACTTCTTAAGAGCTATGTTTCTACAGCAATAGCTTTTCCATCCACTGCAATAGTTTCTTGGGAGAACTAAGCTGGATGTTTTGAGTGTTCTTCTCTGCCACACACATTGCAGTAGACTTGTCTAATTTCTCAGATGAGAATGTCTGAATATATACACCTGTCCAATTTTTAGGCAACTTCAACACTGAACACAAATTGTATTTTCAGAACCACTCCATCAACATCTTTTATAGAGATTAGAAAAAAAAAATCCTTCCTACCCTCATGAGGGATACTTCAAAGCAGCAGGGAAACCCTATGATCCTTGGAATTCTGATAGAAACCTAAATGATTCAGAAGATTATCTTAAAAAATAAGAAATAATGTTTTCAATTTAAAGTGTACTATGTGCAGAGATGATCATTTGTAAAAAACTGTAATGCACTGAAAAAGGCACCAAGCCTGTCAGAGGTGGTCAAGGAGTGTCTAGATCATGCTTTTAGTCACATGGTTTAGTTTTAGGTAGTTCTGTGAGGAGCAGAAAGTTGGACTAGATGATCCTTATAGGTCCCTTCCAACTTGATATACTCTATGATTACATGACAAAATAAATTAATCATTATTTTAACATGAATGTCAAGGCAAACTATCCAGGAATGTGGAGGAGACTGAAATACTCCAGTTCACTGAACTGGACCTTGTACTGTTTGTTCTTCTGCCTACAAAACAGAATAAGGAGGTGATTAAGGGTTTGTATGAGCAATGCAGGTAAGAAGTTTGCTTTCATGTAAGTTTCCCCTTTTCACAGCAGCATCCCAAATACAACCTCACAAGCACAGGATGGGTAAAGGCACTTGGGACCAAAAGATGTAATTCTCTTCTTAGGATGATTCTCTCAAAGCTAGATGGGAAACTAATACATTGTAAGATTACAAACAGAAAGGCTCAAATTTCTAATGATCTCACTTGACATTAGAAACTAAAGAGAAAAAGCACATAATTTCAGTGGCAGCTTTCCTGGCCTTGGTGCCTTCAGAGAGTGACTGAATGCCTCTCAGAATGCAGGAAGTTCAGTGTTTTCAAGAGGCAGTAAGAGAAAGTAAGTGAAATTTCATCGATGTGTTAAATTTGGCCCCTGCCACTGCTAAGATCCTTGAGCCTCTTGCATGTTTCCAAGTCCTACATCCTACTGTGATTCCATGTCATGTTTTTGGTTACAGCATCAGCCGTGCTCAGAAGCACAAGAACCACCATAGTTTTCCTCTAGTTAAAAGCAGATTTGGTGCTGGGTTGCTGGGAGCGGCTGCACTTTGGCAGGGACTACAAGAGGTAGGGAATTGCAGCACGCAGCTAGGACAGAAGTGGAAATCACATTGCAGAAAAGTCTTCTTGACACCTGACAAGGTAATTCCAGTGGGCTCTGCCTGTCCTTCTGTGCTGGTGAGCTCCTGGACTGGGAACTAAGGAGCAATTTCTGTACAAGTGCCTTGAGCTTCTGGCTCCAAGTCTGACCCCTTGTTTTTCCAGAAGATTAATCTGCAGCTTGGCTATACCACTTGTTTACTCTTGTGAGACAAAAGGACTTGCAATGAGAGAATTGTCTATAGGTAAGTCATTCAGGCCATAAAAATGTCCTGTTTGCTTAGGACAAGCCTGTAACAAAAACAAAATGTTAAAACATCAGTGACTTTCAAGACAAATACTCCTTAGTTCATGAATATGCCCTTCTCTCAAAAATATTAAAAGGTCACCACTAGACAATAAGGAAACAACACAAAGTCCAGGAACTAGCATTAAAGAGGTGTCTGCATTTCACAGCAGGATAAGGGAGAAGAACAGAAGAGCAGCTCTGCCTTTTGTGTCCTGGGTACAGAGCGAGGTTGGTGCACCTCAGCCCAGTGGCCTTGGGGAAGCTGTGCTAAGCCAGCTCTGCCTGGGCAGAGGTCAGAGCACAGGACCCCCCTGCTCCCCCGAGGCCCGTTCTGCTCCCCGGCCCCATCCCAGTACAGCCTGCTGCAGGTCCAGCTAAGCACCATTGGTACAAGCACGGCATTCGTGCACTGCGCACAGCAAACGCTATCACACCGTGCCTTTCCTGAAGTGTCAGGCTTAGCACGGCCCCGTGCATCCACAGCAAACGAGGGCAAGCCAGGCAGAGAAAGTGCAAAGGATCCAGCCCAGCAGTGGAGGAGCTGCCAAACAGCTCCCTCGGAGTCTGCTCTCTCTCCATATACGCAGCCCTTGCCTTTCCCATATCTGCTGCAGTAGTTTATCTTTATAATTAAATATTTCAATTAATTACCAGCTTCTCAAGTTCAAGAACTATTTTACCTTACTCAAATAGTTTATTTAAAAATATATATATATATAATATTCTCCAATTCAGAAAAGGATAGAACTTCCCACAATGTAACATTTTTTTATATATATATATAAAATATTTATGAATTCAGTGAATGGAAACAGTTTTACTGTATACATTTTTAATGTTGTACTCTATGCAAATCTGCATTATCTAAAAATATACCGTACTTCTGTAAATCAAAACAAGCAGGGAAAAACCACTGTAGCTGTGCTCTGGGTAATAATACCTAACAGAAATGATATGAAAGTTTTAGTTTTGAATTTAAGAACTCACAAGCAACATTTTACTTTGTGAGGACATAAATAGAAGACTGAATACATTCTTGCTTTGTTAAGCTGAACTGTAGTAGAGGTTACAAAATGTAAATATATTTATTAATTTTCAGTATTTCAGTGTTTCCAAGTCCACCTTTCATGATAGTGTTAAATAAAACATGGTCCTATCCTTCCAAGCATTTCAACACTCTTTAAAAAACAAAAACAAACAAACAAAATTTTAAAGTGAAATGTCCTCCTTCATTGAAGTGTTAGATCATATTTTAAATTACTGCACTCCCACACAATATTTTATATATATATATATATTCTAAATATATATATATATTTATATATATATAAAGAGACCAAATAGGAGACTACATTTTTTACTGTCAATATGTTTAACATCACATACTGTAGTTGTATAAAACATGCATTTTCTGGGATAATTATGAACACATCATGAATGAGCCCATATATATTATATTTTTTGTACAACTCCAAGTTAAAAAAAAAAGTCAGAATAAGTGCCTCTGAGGCCCTTTCTTCCCAGCTATGAGTTCTCAAAACACACTACTGAATTATTTATCTATGCCTACAGCTATGTGCTAGAGAACCAGATTAAAACTTTAAAATACATCTACAGTATGTTTCACTTTTCTTAAAGTTTGTGACAGTCCTCAGATATTGTGTTGTGAAATGTAAAAATAGTCACAGATTCTTTTATTTTCCAGAAATAATAATAAAAAAAAAAAACAAAACAAAAAAAAAAAAAAAAACCCCAAAAAACAAAAAACAAAACACATCTAGGAGAGTATGCAAAAACAAGGCAAAATGAAGTTTCATAGCACTTAATGAGGGTTAATATAAGTCAATAACTAGTATTGAGGTTTGTAAAAAGGGCTGGATGAGCAGTTACATGTACAAGCAAATGGTCTGGTAAGTCCCATGCTCTCAGATGTTGTTTCTGTAACCAGCACTTCTCCACCCTTAAAACCAGTCGATATACATTCAAAATAGGTTGACACTGATATACTTAATAGGTGTAAAAATAGTGCACTATTTTTTCTGCCACAAAGCAAAACTGCATCCTAAGAGCTGGTAAACTTTCTTTTTCCTTAAATAGAAGGAATGGGCAAAAAAACTTGAAAAAAATTTAAATTAAGGCAATTAGACAGGTACAAAGGGACTGCCCATGATGATGTAGCTGAAACTAGTATATACTTCAAATCTATACTAGCTGCTGAACACTGACATGCAGCTTCTGATAGATGTGTATGAATGATATAAACTTCAACATTATGGCTTTATACAAGTGCATAGTTGCAACTGCAATAAGTAACGGTATCTGATTAATAAGCATAAAAAAATAAAGTGGAAAGATTTTTAAACCCCTCTTGCAGTATTACAGTACAATATATTTACACAGTTTAATGGTCACTTCTCACAGATGCAGTCTATATCACTATGGTGGATCTTCCTCCAGTTCTACGTGCAGACGTGCTGGTGGCATCTTTACGAAAGCTGAAAAGTCAGTTTCTTCCATTTCAATACTCATTCCTCTTGATCCTTTTATGAAATGTAGTGTATGTGTCTTGCCAAGAAAGCTTTTGTGGAACAGAGTTTAAAAGGTTACCTAACATATCCTTTAACTATTTACCAACCATTCCTCAACCGATCAGTCACTTGGGAGAATACAGGAAAACCCTCAGAGATTAGTAATTTATATTGCAGCAAAAATGTAAACCTCTGATATATATAGCACAATCTCTCAGGAAAATATATATTTTTAATATATTTTGGGATATGTTTCAGTCTTGCTGTAATGGGAAGAAAATTATCACCTTGACTGTGTCTGCATTCATGGAAAGCAGTTAGCTGAAAAAGAAGCAGGAAGTTTGGTCAGTAAATGCAACAAAAGTAAATCTGACAAAAATATACTTCTTTAAAGCCTTCCTTTAAGATGGGTTCATCAATGTACTTGTGAGAAGCGCTTTTCCTCTGCATCCAACAGCAACATTACTTCAGTATAGCACATCCTTACACACTGTAATCCCAAATCGATTAAACCCCCTTGCAATATACATGGGCAGGGCACAATATGCACAGTGTAATGGTTACTTCTAAAGGATTAGTGATCAGTAAGCTTTTAATACACAAAGATGCAGTATATTTAATTAACATAATGCTCATTACTGTGAACACTAAGCCAGTTAAGTTCTGCAGGAACTGGTTCCTCAGTTCCCTGAGCACACAGCAGAGTAGCAGCCCCAGAGGCACTGTTATACAGCTGAGACACATCTCACATACTGTTTAAAACAATTCTTAGGCATTTAACATTTAGGGTTTTTTCTGTGTAAATATAAGATTGCATCAATGTGTGAAATGATCAGATCCTGAGGTCTAGAAAAAGGTAAAGCTATTTGCAATACATCCAGAATTAAGCCATGGGACAAATCAATCACTGCAACGGCAGGATTTTTCTAAAGCAGTCAAGGAAACCACACCACGGCAGCTGCAAACCCATTTGTTTACACAGTTTTCAAATGCGTGGTTAGGTACCCAGAAAGCACAGCACTGCAAAGGAAAGCCAAGTCAAATTCACTTCAGAACAGAGGTAGAAAAGCAAAATGCAGAACTCCAGTGATTTCATGTCTGCTAGCCATAGACCAGTTTATATTCAAAGATGAGAAATGAAAAGTGTTTGTAAATACCAAGTCTATTTCAGCTAAACATCCAACTGCTACAATCTCCCTTTTATCCTTCAAATATTCAATGCTGAGGTTCGCAGTATTAGCATTACAGATGAGCAACGACCCTGAAAACAGCAGTTTTGGGGTTTTTTTCAGGCAGGCAGACATGAATTTTGAAAAAAAAAAAAAAAATCTAAAATTAGAAAAATAAAAACACTGGTAAAGGCAACAACTTTGTTTTAATGAAAATGACTCCTCTAAAAGTTCAATACGATGAACAGAATCTCATTTTTCTATTTAAAATTTTAAAATGAGATCTTGTATTTTCTCTGCTTTGAGAAACAAAATCCAACATAGCATGCTGTATTCAAAGGCAAACAAATCCATTCCTCTCTATTTAGATTTACCCCTTATACTTCTTCAGAAATCAAAAACATCGTCATCATCATCATCACCATCAATATCATCAACATCATCAAAGGACCAATCCCAGTCCTTAAATGCCAGATCAAGTAATCTGCAACAGGAGGGTTTGATGTTTAATGAGTGTCACACTTCTATAAAAGACTTGAGAATTCCTTTTGCTATCACTAAACCTTTTTAACTGAAAGACTGTTTGAGGTAGGTGGGTTTGTTCCTTTGCCTATCATGAGTATGAAGATTCAGTTAGTGTTCATGTAAGTTAACAATATTGCATTCATTGCAAATTCATCTCAAAAATAATTCCATTCAATATAGAACTCTTACCATATTTATTTTTTCCCCTAGAATTTCAGTAGGAAAGACCAACATGTACCTTTTATAAAATTATCTGCTTTCTGTTTTGTTGCTGTTTTTGCTGACTAAGGTGGTTTTATGCTCTCCTGCCATCCCCTTCCAGACAATAATGCAAACCTAACAATAAAATCAAGTGATTCTGAGTGCTGAAAAGAACATTGAATAAGATAGCACTTCATCTGAACGTACAAACGAATATAGCAGGATTTTACTGTATCCCAAATACAGGGTGATTACACTATGAAGCTATTTTGTACCTCATTATTTAAAGTTAAGCAATGCCAAAAAAGAGGATATATCAACTTGTTGTCTAGGCCTCCCTGTCTGTGCTCCTTGTATGGTCACTACAGAACAAAGAAGGCAAGCAAGGCAAACCCTGTCAGCAAATGAGTCATTTTACTTATCTGAGGCATTTATTTTGGGATGGGGTGAATCATTGTCTAGAAGCACTCATCTCTTTCTGTTCTAATATCTTAAGTACTAACTTTTCAACTGCTATAGCTACATCAAATGAAACACAGCCTAGTCATCTCTCCAGTGAGCTGGAAGGATCTTAGGTAGGGTTGTATGTCAAGCATAGGATGCAGGCATGGAAACCTTATCCTAAGAGAACATCAATATAAACACGTTACATTGTTTAATAAAGTTAATCACATGTTTTAAACAAAGTGGGTTTCAGGGGAATTTGGATTTTCAGGTTTTAAACTATTTCAACCTTTAAATGTGATACAGCCCTGAAAAGGCTCAATATTCATTTGTTACATGAACTATGCCTATTACACTTAAACAATTTATTAGGAATTAAAATACATTAAAGTTGGGCTTTTTTTCAATTTGGAATGATCCATTTGGCCATTGAGCCAACCAAATGGCTAAGCAGAAATTATATGGTCTGTATGAAAAACTGGTTTGCCCTTTCCTAAATCCTCACAAAGAAAAACAGCCATGAAAACCTTGAAGAAACCATCATTGTGTAAAATTCCTATCAAGGACAGCATTTTTAGGACCAGGCAGCTTGGAAGGGACCTCAGGAGGTTTCTAGCCCAACCTCCTGCTCAAAGCAGGGTCAGATACAAAGCCAGCCCAGGATGCTCAAGGCCTTGTCCTGTCAGGTGTTGAGAACCTCCGGGGGGGAGCCTGTCCAGCCTCATTGGCCTCCCTCTCTGCATTGGCTTTTCCTTCTATCCAGCTGGAGTGTCTCCTGATTCAGGGGAGCCCCTTGTTTCTCACCATGCAGCGCTGCCGAGCCTGGCTCTGTCTCCTGGATAACCTCCCCAGGAGCAGGCTGCTATGGGACCCCTGGACATATCCATCCTCCAGGCTGAACAAGCCCAGCTCCCTCAGGCATCTGCTCTGACCATCCTGGTGGCCTCTGCTTGGTCCTTCCCCAGTGTGTTGATGTCTGGCTGGAATTTGGGGGCTCAGAGGTGGAGGCAGTGTTGTGCTGCAGACTATGGAGTGAACAGAGGGGTATAATCTCTCCCCTCAGCCATCCAGCTGTGTTCCTCTTGGTGCAGCCTCAGAGCCTACCTGGCTGCCAAAGCCCACTGCTCAGTCCCTAGATTGAACTGGCAACTGCATCTTCATTATTCATAAAGTTCATAAAGGAAAATTAATTATTTCATATGGTAAGCCCTTGCACAAACACCTCATAGAAGCAACACTGAGATATAAATTTGCCATAGCAATTACAGTTATTTATGAGTATGTGGTTTCTAATTAAAGGTGTTTAAATCCATACTAATTTCCACTGTTTTGACAGACCTGCATTATTCTGGTAATAGGTGACATGATCTCACAGAACTACACTTTTCATCTGTTAGGTACATTTGTGAGGCTAACTTGGAAACTTAAACTGAAGAATTACATGCTTTACACACAAATATACTCATCCTCCTCCTTTTCCCACCAGTATTGAATGTGCTATAAAATACTGTACTATAAAAAGCATTTTGTACAAAAGTTCAAGAGTGAAAAAAAGAGTAATGGAAGGAAAATTATTATTTGCAGAACACATAGTAGCTATTGAAAAAAAATCAGAAGATCCATACTAATTTCCACTGTTTTGACAGACCTGCATTATTCTGGTAATAGGTGACATGATCTCACAGAACTACACTTTTCATCTGTTAGGTACATTTGTGAGGCTAACTTGGAAACTTAAACTGAAGAATTACATGCTTTACACACAAATATACTCATCCTCCTCCTTTTCCCACCAGTATTGAATGTGCTATAAAATACTGTACTATAAAAAGCATTTTGTACAAAAGTTCAAGAGTGAAAAAAAGAGTAATGGAAGGAAAATTATTATTTGCAGAACACATAATAGTAGCTATTGAAAAAAAATCAGAATTTATCATATACCTTTATATGTTAACAGCAAGAAACAGAGTAACACCACTAACTTAGACTGTAAAGAGTATGCAGAAGTGATCTACTTGCCCCTCAAATTGTCATGAGTGTTTTCCTGATTCATGCTTTCAGTCCTATCACTGATATTTTGATTATTTTTGCACAAAGAAGCTCTTCAATAATTGGTCCCTAAAAAGTGATTTAAAAGCTTTTTCCTTCATGATTCTAATAAATCTATTACTTTAAAATCCAATTATGAGGTCTGATTCTCTTTAAAATATGTAAATTAAATCACCAAAAATTAGACTGTATGAAGCTTGGAAGGGAAGTGAAATTAAATTACTCTAAGTCCTTCCACTATGCACTTCCACCCATTAAAATACCAGTATCTGTTTAAGATCCTTATGCTTCATAGCATAAGGATGTTTTGTGGTAATAGAAGCATCACAGCAAGAGTGTGCTTCCCTGCATTCTCTATTGTAACTGGCCACTCACCCAGCCCAGGTCTCACCCAGCCACCTGAGATGCTGGTGCCAGCCTGCTCACAGAAAAAAGGAGAGCAGACCAGTCTAGGCATTGCCCAATTACCTCTCTGGGGAAAAATGTTAAGCCTTTGCTAAACTGGAATACTGCAAAGAACAAAGTAAATGAGACCAGCCCTTTCACAGGCTGCCTGCACTGGGACATGACAGAACAAATATAAGCTAGTACTACAAGTGATGAAAAAAGCAAACTGGAAAAAAACCAGAAACTGCCCTTCGCAATCATATAAATGCTACCTGCAGAATGCTATCAACTTCCACAGCAGAGCACATCAGATTCTGCTCCTGAGAATTGATCCAGCAGTAAACTAATGATTTTTGTATGGAAAATTTTTACCCAATCAGAAGAATCTGATAAGATTATTCTTTTAGGAATCATGGGACATTAGCATGAGCCCTTCTACCGAGAATAACGAACTGAAACCAATTCTAGTAAAACATTTAGAGCAATAAATTAAATAGCAGCTCTTGTTGTCACCTTGGTTTGTTTGGAGGAAGCTGTCGACTTGGTCGTCTGATGGACTGGTTTGGCTGTACCTTCATGGAAGTTCTGGGAGAAGATCGAGCAAAGGGGTCTGGTGCTGGAGGCTTCTTGGGTATTTTTTTCACCAGTCGGCTCACCCATTTTTGCTGTTCTTCCGTAGAATTAGCTAACAGTAGTAGATTCTTAGCCGTAGAAATATCATAGTATACTGTAATAAGATTTTAAAAATAAAAATGAATATTGTTATTATTCTAAACATGGCCCCACATCAAAAATTAGCTGTCAGATTAGCATACTCTCATACTTGAAGCAGAGAATTCAGCAGAGAGGTCAAAAGTAAAATGAACCAGTAGATTTCATGGCTGCTGACATGGCCTCCTCCTTATATTTTGAAGTAACAACTTAGTACTGTGGAAGATACACATTCAAGTGGAAGAAAACACGGGTAACACAAAGAGGTGTGACTGAGACTAGGAAATTATATAATGTTGAGTCACAAGGAGCAACCTTCACCAAATGTAACCCCTTCCATAGCGCTGTTGTTTCCCACAGCGGAGCACAACACGCAGTGTGAGCACCTTACAAGCACCACACTCTGCTGCACAAGGATGACAACACAACAGGTAACTGCACACCACAGCCACGTGCCACGAACTCAAAGCGGAATGACCCTCAGGGAGACACCCTCGGAAAGGGGCCCACGTACTAACAAAACACACACCAACCTTTATGTTCAGTTGGTGGTAGACCATTACTAGAATCCTCTGATCTATTAGAATGCCTTGTGACTCCAGCAGTGTCTGCAAATTCAAATATTTGCTATTTACCTTTGCAAGGCGCTATAATCTCTTCCTTTTTATCCATGTGATCTTTGTGACATTTGATATGGCAGCGGCGACATTCCAGAGCAGGAGGAGGTTTAAACATGTGCCACAGGGGCTTCATGCAAGCTTCACAATTGGTTGGGAAGTGGTAAAGAGTAGGTATAAACTCATGTCCTTTGTGACAAATGTAATTTGACTTCTCTCCCATGGGCTCCACAGGAAATTCCTGTTCCTTTTTGCTCTCTCCTTCATTAGCATATAGGATCTAGAATGAAAACAAAATAATCTCAATACTCCTAGTTAGCAAAACAAATTCAGAGCCATTATCTAAATACAAAGATTGAAGAAGTACATTAAGAACGATTTTTCAAAGATTTTTTTAGTAAATATTTCATTAGACAATATTTCTGATAATGTCTAAAATGCCATGTCTGTTACACTAGAAACATTAATATATTAATGAATACCTGGAATATCCTAGGAATTTCCTTGGAATCTGCTCTGTACACATCAGTCTGAGTGACTGGTCGGACATGGAAGAGTTTGCTATAGGAAATTGTTTCAATAAGGACAAAAATTAATGTTACCACAATGAAAAATGTGACAGATTAAGTTAGGATACAACAGATCACATTAAGCCTTAGAACCATTGAATATTTGTCAAATTTGTACAGATTTCTAATCACTTGGTAAAGCCCTGTCTTTCAACCCTGCACATGAACTCCCAAAAGCCCTAAATAAAAAGAAGTCACAAGCATCCAGCTATATTTGTGGAAGCACTGAGAAACCATCATCATGTGATTTTAATGGCCGCTGGCACCTTTCTAATATAATTCTCTCCCCATGCTCTGAATAGCCACATTCTGCATTTATTAAGAAAATAAATTAACTATATAACCCACCTGTAAGGCCACGTTGTAAGAGAAAATATATGAACCATGAAAATTATATCCTCTGTGCTACAGTTTTCATTACATTTTGCTCCCAAGTGTGTGTGAGGAAAGTCTAGCTGAGCTAGTGGGGGCATTTCAGTTACACCAGGGCTCAGTCCAGCTCTCTGGATCAGTCTGAGCACCACACTGCTCCTCCTGCACCAGTGCCTACAGCAAACCCCACTCTGCACCACAGTGAGTCCAGCTCTACAGTTCAGATTTAAAAAGTTACGTCCCATGTGATGCTGTGGTCCCTGACTAGACCTCAAAAGGCCCTTTGGTCACAGATCTTTCCAACAGAGTTCACCTATAAATCAGAAGAAGGAACCACACATGGCAATACTTACTCTATATCCAATACCATATGGGGATTAGATTGTTCTTTATCTTGTTCACTGTCATAGAACAGGATCTTCTTGCTGCTTACAATTACATACTGTTAGGAGACAAAAGGTTAAAACATGTTTTAATTCAGCTCATCACAGATGTCAAATATGTCACAGCAATTATCTATCACATGTGTTGTAGCAGTATTTTTGTACAGTATGATTAAATGGTACCTAAGTGGACAATGGTAGTACTGTACACTAAGTCCATGCCAAGGAATTCATTGCATAATAAACAAAATTCTGATTACCTGATAACTCAAGTTATATTATCAGATTAACTCATTTTTAAACATATTTAAATATCTATGAAGAAACAAAAATCAAAGTCAGGAAGAGAGTAGAATGTAAGCTTTTCCTATTTCATTGATTTAATTTTTACTTGGACTGGTAGAGAGAGTAACTACTGGTAGAGAGAGTAACTGTCATGCTCTTCATGTGTGCAGCTAATAGGGATCATATTTTAAAAGATCACTATTATACTTACCAGAATAGCTAGCAATGTTCACTAAAAAGCTAATTACCTAAAAGATGTCCTACTTCCAGAATTTTGCCTAGAATTAACTGTATGGCAGCAGTAAGGAAATTTGTATGAAAATTGTTTATGTTACATTTTTGACAAAGACTCATCAAAGAGGTTACTGAGAAGCAGTAAACAAATGAAGGCTGCACAAGGCAGGAGCAGTAGGTTTTAGTCTTATCTACTAAATAAAGAAATTGTCAAGAGCACCTGTTTCCAGACTCTGCCTAATTTCCAGCTGTTAATACTGCTGGGAATGCTTATGGCATGTACAAACATTTGAAGATCATGAATGACTGTTCTCACCTCTGGCTACACAAAGAAGTGTCTTAAAATATTGCAATTGTCTTAAGCTGCTCCTTTCAGGTGTAGCTATACCAGTTAACATATTTTATACATTTAAGTAATAAGAGAACATATATAAAAGAAAAACTGAAGTGTTGAAAGCCTATAGTAAATTCAAAGTTGAATCTACACATGAAACAAAATCATAAATCTGGTTTTCTTACCTTTTTAACCCATCCAAATTTTTTTGTGTTATTTCTAACAGGCATTGATAGCCAGCCTTCCAATCTTGATTCTGAAAAAGATATATGTATTTAAAGAACAGATAAAAAATTTTTTTTGAGACTACCATGCATTTTAAAAGTTATTGACCATCAATAATAAAGCAAGAGAGCAAACATGAGAAGATGAACTATTTAACAGTATGGGATCTTGCAAAGTTTACCATGGTAAATGTTCAGGAATACATTAAATAATGTACCCCTGAATACAGCCAATAGCCAGCAATGCAATCACAAAGAAGTAGTAGGAGGAAGGGAAAGAACAAACTTGCAATTATAGCACACACATTCCCTTTAGTAATTTTTTCATGTCTTAAAAGCCTTATGACTATTGACAGTTACCTTTTACAACAGCACCTAAAGATATTAATACAGACCACACAACGTCCAATCCAAGACCAAAAAAAAAGGCAAATTACCACCACAAATAACCTATATACCCTATATGCTAGGGAAAATGTCAGTTTAGCATTCTAATTCATACTTTTTGGTCTGTAAATTTTTCTTTTCTCTAATTCTGCCTGTGCCTCCTAGGTTTTCTAATCCAAAATAAGTAATTTTTGGCTAACCTTTAGGCCTTGCCTGAATTCAACTGCCCTTTCACACACTTGCAGTATTTTATATTACACTGCCACATTTGTCAGATTTGATTTATCAAGAGTATTGAGAGCTCAGCTGTTGTTTGACACACACATTTCAGTAGTCACCAAAAGCTCAACAGGATCACGCTTTCCCAGTGCTTGGTAATACACAGGATCACATACCCTTCCACCCTATTTTTGTAGCTGTGCAAGTGTTTCTTCCCGCTATGTTTTATTAAGGGAACTACTTAATTGCAATAATATTTTTCTAATGATTTTCCTACCCTAGCAGATAACCTCTACTACTGCTGAGGAACCTCCAAGTCAAAAATAGGGAAGAGTTAAGCATTAACAAAGACAAAACCACAAGCAGAAACACACTCCAAAATTACAAAAACTATTTTTCTTCTCATCAGAGGGCATTTGCAGGTTCCTGCCCATGTTTAACACAGTGTAACAAATAATGACTAGATATTAATAGAATTCTTTTTGTGTTAAGGAAACTTAAAGCAAGATACACAGATACACACTGTCTTCAATGTTTACTGCCCCACAACCAATGCTGTTGGTGACCTCTTTTAATACACATATGAAGTACATGAAACAGTTCTGTAACATTTGTTTTGCCTCATACCTGCCACCTTATATTCTTCCTTTCAACTGTACCTGACAGAAAGTGTAGCAAGCATAAGGTTCATGCAAAAAAAATAGTCTACCCCATATCCAGGAAGCACAAGTAGAGCAAAAAAAAATGCATGTTTCCCCTATTTCCTAAAATATGATTTTCCTATTTTTCTCTGTAACCTGTAATACAGATTAAATTAGACAAAATAGAGAGCTTCTCATTATACTTTTTCACTTCTTGTGACCATTCAATACTAAAAGATCAAAAAAAGGGCAGAATATTCCAAACTTCTCAAAATACATGCTTATAAACACTAGGAGGGGAGAAACAACAGAAGACACTATCCTACCTCAAATATTTTGTAATTATGTCAGCAAAAAATCCCATCTTAGCTATGATTTTTACTTTAGAACAAAGCAAATCCATGCACATACCACAACAGCAGCTAACAAGGAAAAAATGCGTATGTTTGTAGGTTTTCTTTCATTAGAAGCTTCAAAGCAAAAACCAGAGAATGAGGAAAATAGAGGAAATGCATTATTCTTTAGTTTGATGAAGTAATGTCAAAAACGCCAAAAGAGGTTCTATCTTCAGTGGAAAGGTATTCACACTTTAAAGGAACCTCATGTGAAACAGAGAAATTTGAATGCCATAAAAAACCCACCTCTAACATTAACACCAAACAGAAGCTTTGTTAAAAGGGTGTATGCGTAGTCATATAAAATGAATATAGAATTAATAAAACAGGGCCGTATCATTCATAATATACTTTTAAGGCAAAACAATGTAATACTCAGGAAAATTAATTTCAACAAGAAAATAATATATGTTAAGATGTGAGAAGTTAGATATTTCCACGCTTCACTTAAACACAAAGATTTTACTTTTTGGTGTCCAGTACCTTAAGGTCATACAGAGAGCTGCAGACACTGTGTAGAGGCTATGTTGAAAACAAGCCACAAGGCTCATTTATTCAATGCCTCAATAAAAATGGTAGGTTTATAACTGTCATCAAGCATTTGCAAACATTTAGAGAAAACAGGCCAGTTATTTGTTCATGCAAACTTTTTCATGTCTTTGATAGCAATGTTTACTGCTGCTGCAGTGTGTTATCTGCCAGATTTGGTTTATGTCTCTTTCATTATGTATTAATAGTGTTAGTTCTGAAACAGAGAAAACAACACAAGAACAAAACCAAATGGTTCTCAGGGATGTCACCTGTGCTATCAACTTCTGTAGGGCTGTGGGAACAAGACAAAGGCTCTTCCTCTGAGTCAGAATCGGAATCAAGAAGCATGCGAGAACTGGAAGGCTTAGTGGCAATACTGACAGAGGTAGAAGAGTGCTGATAGGTAAAGGACATGGATTCCATAGTGTGGGACTGAGTGATATGGACTAAACATAAAGCATAAAGGAGGAAAAGTAGAAAAGAAGTCAAAATAGAATCTCTAAGAGAGTATTAGTTTTACATTTTATCACATACACACAGTAATTACAAAATAACCACCAAAATAAAGTGAAAGAAATATTTAGTTCTAATGGACCATAACAGAATTAAAAAAAAAAATCTATAAATGAATGTAAGGTGAAGTATTACAACAGACAGATTTAGTTAGCAGGTGAGCAAGTGATCACTATCAAAGGATAGGTAAGATGGTAGAAACAGATGAAGATGAGAATCACAGAATCATCAGGGCATCAATTTAATATTCCAGTTTCTATGGAAATCAATGGTATAAACCCGGTTAATGCAGAATTATTAATAAAATTAACATACCAGGGAATCCATCATCCGCCTCAGCCTCTCCAGGTCCACTGCCTATGCTACTGTTGTCCAGCCCAATGTGCAGTGACTGCAGCTGGGAACGAAGCTGTTCAATGTCACTGTCTTTGCTGTCCAGAGTCATCTGCAGTTCAATCCGTATCTGACTCTCTTCTGCTATTTGCTGCAGGGATAAATTGCAAGATTCCCTATTATCACAATATTTGGTTACTCAAGAGAAAATGATGCAGAATTTTTAGCCAATCTCAATATACATTCTGTGTATTTCTTCTAGTTGGGGAAATTCAGAAATAGAGACTGGATATGCTACCTAAAAGTCTGTATCAACAGTAAGATTTTACAGAAAATACTGCAATGTTTATATTTACAAAAGGATCTTACTGCCTGCATTTCATTTATTTCCTTCTGATATTTGATCATCATCTGGGTTAACTTTTCTCGTTCAGACTTCAGTTCCATATGCAGCTTCCTATTTTCCTTTTCTTTCCGCCGTACATCAGTGTCAGCTCCACGTTTGACTGGACCCTTCCGATTCATGATTTCAGCCAATTTATTCACAGCCTTCCCATGGGAAAGAAAAGTGACAGAAACCACACTAATAAATACATGGAGTTATGTTATGAAGAAATAAAGTCTTCTCTCTGTCTATAACCAGGCACTTCTAACTATAAACTAAGACCTCTGCAATCCAGTACTACAAGCTTGTTTTAATTCAGTGTATTACACAAAATATAAAAGAAGGTAATTATGTCATTTTTACTTGAAGCAAGCATTAGCTGTGTGAGTACATTCATTCATTTAAATAATCCCTTCCATTTTCACTAGACAGACCCAAAATATGTCTTTGTATTAAAATGCCACTTGTTCTAAAAAACAATCTAGATTAAAATCAGAAATGTACGTCTTTATGGAACTTGTAGAGGTATGTTAATCAAGACTGAAACCAGTAACATGTCAAATCATTTGATGGAAATGAAGGCTTTTGCTGATGGAATACATCTGGATTATTATAAATCATAAGGATCCAGTTTCACTACACTGAAAGTCTACTTAGAACAAGGAAAAAAAACCCAATATATTTTCTTTTGGAGCAAAAACAAATAAAGCAATACTGCTATATATCAATAGTTTATAATGGAAAGTATTCTATTAAAAATTATTTGATTCAAACACTGTGTCTACATGCATTTGAATGTATTTGCTTACCTGGGTTTTTAATGTTCTTTCATTCAACAACTGTTTCTCAAATTGTGCTTTAATATTTCCTACATTTGCTTCTTCTTCTTTTAGCTTTGTAATTTCTGTAGCAAGGTAATTAAAAGAAAATCTATGAAAACTCATGACAAATGCATATAGTGTTATTAAAGAACAAACCTAGTTTCAATTTAAATCACATTTGGTTCTGAGATTACGTACGTTCTTGTGCTTCCTTCAGTTTATTGTTTAGTTCTTCTTTCTCATTAGCAAGGTTGGCCACATCACTAGTTAGTGTCCTATTTGCTTCCTCCAACTAAAAAAAAAAAAAGGACATGTGACCATGTAACAAAACTCATTTGGCAAACAAAGCAGCATCACAAGACATAAGGAAATGCTGCAGAGTGAGACCAGGATAAGGATGAGAGGACTTGCTGAAAGAGGGGTAGGGGCACAGAAGAAAGAATGGTCAGAGAAATGCATGGAAAAAACACAGTAAGAGATTCTTGAATTTCAATCATAAGAAATAAATAGTTTTAAAACATTAGGTATACTTGAATATCTCTAAATCTGCTAAAGAGCAGTGGATAACTCAGACTGCAAATAAAGCTCATGTACAACCTCTACCAAAATTACAGATCATGTAACTCACTGAGGCTATGGTGGCATCTTTCTCAGTAAGTTCCTGTTTATGCCTTGCCATCATCTCTTTAATCTCCAGCTCTTTCATAATCTTCTCTTTTTCCAAATCAGAGTACTGTTCTTCAGCAATGGAACGGGCAAGTTGTTCCGAATCTGCTTTTGTCAAAGTAATCTCTAGCTGAGCAGCCAAGGAATCTCTGCAAATTATTGATATATACTTTTAACTTTAAAATGGGTAGGTTAGGGAGGAAAGAAAACAACAAAAAGCCATCCTGATCTTTATGTATTAGTAGTCCAACTAGCAAAACCTACCTCTCATCCTGTAACTCTTGTATCTTTTGCTGCATTTCTTTACAAATTTTGGTCTTTTCCTCACATTCTTCTTTAAGTTCTCGAACTTGTGTCTTATAGAGAGTCTAGAATTTAAAATTGGAAAGAAAATTATGTGATTTCTATACTTTTGAAGGTCCACAAAATTATACAAGTTGACATAGTATGCAGTTCCTTAATCACACTAATTAGAATATAATTGTGCAATGCCTTCTTGAAACTTATCTAAATGTCATCATCATTCACAAATGTGCTTTGGTTATTTTACTTTGTTGTTTTTCCTTTTTTAATTTGTGTATTTGTGAATGGGTAGATGTATGATTTACATTTTCTTTGTATGTATATATACTGCTAAAGATACTCTAAATGTGAAAATCACTATTTTGTACAAAATCAGAAGTATCAGAAGCAGAGAAAATAATTTTTTTTTTCTACTATTTTAAATCTTTGTCTCATGTAATTAGGCATGTGGAGTTTAGATTATAATTATACAAATCCATAAAACCAATATGACAGTTGAAGAACAAAAAGAAATACAGGAATAAGGGAAAAACCAATTAGAAAATAATTTGAAATTCAAAATTTCATGGAATCAATATAAATTTAGAATCCTGAAGAAAATGAAAGAAACATGATATTGCTCTGTCCATTCAAATGACTGACTACAGGTCAAGTGACAGATGACTTTAAGTGTACTTACTGCAGGGATTTCAAGACAGATTGTCTCTCTGGCCCATCTACAGCAGTCAACTGACCTCAATTCTCCCTTTCTTTCCTTTAATGTGTGTAACATTTTCATCTATAAACCTTTAGGTAAGCCTTCTCTTCACTGACCTAAATCCACTAGGAAATCTTAATTTTCCGTTAATATTGAAACAAGCCTTTTGGCATCTCATGCAGTGTGACTGGCTGTGCACAGTTAATAAAAATTGACCTCCACATGCCAGTGATGATGATTTTTAAGTATGTCACCTATTTATTCTGGTGCACCTTGCCACAATAAACGAAAAACTCCCAACAGATCACTACCACGTTTGGTCATAATGCAAAATTTCCTTCTGAGCTGGAGATGCATATGTATTGTCACATCACGTGAGAATACAACTCTTCTCTATCATACAGCATGGAAAAGGCTTGAAACATGCATGAGATTATTCACACTGTGGAAAAATGAGCTGCTTAACTCCTCCCTCTGAACTCCCCTACAAAGCTCAGACATTTCTCAACATGAGCTCTTTTGTGCTGCTCAGTGATCAAGATCAAGGCAGCACACAACACCAGAGACAGGCACAAGAAAAACAAGTAGCTTTGGGTTAGACATGTGAAATGTCTGATGGCTGTGGGGGAAGAAGAAAAGCTAACATACTCAGTAAACAGATTAATATAAAATAAAGCAGCATAAAACATACTGAGAAATACTGCTCAGCTTCAAGCTGGTCTTGAAGCTCTTTCATTTGTCCATCTGCATCTTGACGTTCCCTAGAAAGGAAGAACATACTTTAGAGATATGAAGATATTCCAAAGCAGTAAACAGAAAAGACAGCATTCACACTCTTGAGATCTCCAGCAATTTTTTGACCTAAATATCATCAGCTATTAAACCTGAAGCTTCCTCTGGGTGCCAGCTCTCTTCTTGTACAGCTAAGAATACTGCACTAGTAACAAGTCAGTTTAATACTGCTAAGTCACTAACTATAACAGTGTCACAAAGTTTAACTGGTAAGAGACACTGATAAAGTAAACAGCCACCAACACAATCTTATTTCCATGTAAAATGTCACTGATCTGACTGGTTGTTTTGGGTCTCTTGTTTACTAGAGCAGTCTGTGAATGTTGGTATTCCTTGACACGCGTATTTTCTTGAATTCATCTGTTATTTAACAAACAGTCAGTTCCATAACAACAGAAATGTAGCAGAAAAGACTTCTGCCTTTGTTCCACATTATGGCCACCTTCTACATGACTAACTGCATCTTGCTGACAGAAAGGCAAAGCACAGGGAGACAAAACATCCAAAGTCATAAAGGAGCTAGGATTGAGATTTATCTGATACATGTGGTAATCTGGTCTTTTCATTCACAAGAAAGTTCTTTGTGAAAAAAATTGTTTCCTTCCTCACTTCCTATCAGGTGCAAATACTACTTGTAAGACCTTGAAGAACTACTGACACTCCTATCTGAAGGTCCAACAGATGTGCTTAAAGATCTGTAGTACTAGATATTTCCAATGGTTATGCTTTGTAGCTCTGCAGCAGTATTCATTTCCAACTCTGATAACCTCTCCTAGACTAATAATTCCAATAACTTTCCTCTCCACTGAAGTCCTACATAATTAAAAAAAAGTACCTAGACCTTCAGTTAAATAAGTGTTTCTCTGAAGTTTTCAGACTCGTATTTAGGCTGTGTTTTCTAAGATTTTCAGGATAACTAACATCTTTTAATACAAACCTATACATTGCTGAATCACTAAGCAAGTCACATTTAAAGTCACTGTAAATTATTTTAAAGAACAATTAAGTTTTGCACTGTAGAATACCATATTCTTTGCAGCAATTTTTTAAAATTAATTTTGCTCCCAGCTTTTGTTCCAAAACTATTTTAAATCAATACCATGACTAAAACATATAGAGCAACTTGCATACTTGCGGAGTTCATTGTTTTGTTTTTCCAGACTTAATTTGATTTCCTGAAGGTGGTTGTTCTCCTGTTTTAGCTGCTTCTCCGACATTCTCAAGGTGTTGACCTGCTGTGTTTGCATCTTGAGGTCATTTTGAGTGAGACAGCGCTTTTGTGTTTCTTGCTCTATTTTTAATGTCAAGTTTTTTACCTGAAAAAGAAACAGAAACCTGTGAATTTTACAGATCTATACAGGAATACAACATTTAAACAGTCTCTAATTGACTTCCTTTACATCTGTTGGAAAATCAAAGCTGCTTCCTGAAAAAAGGCATTAGCACACATTAAATTACCTAGTTTTTCCATGTCAATCTCACAACATTTACCACTATAGAGGACAAACCTTTTAACATAAATAATACTGAAATATATCAGAAAATGTCACCACATTCCACAAAGTAGACTTTTTAAAGTTTCAAGGACAGAGAAGGAAAACTTCCTTGCCAGTTTCATTCACAAATATTCCTAAATCCAGCTATAACAGAAAAAATACTAAGGCATTGAAAACAAGGTTTGACTCCAGACTCCTTCTGTCAGTGCTCCTTACATCTTCACTCAGAATATCCTTTTGCCGAAGGAGCTCATTTATTTTCTGCTGCGACTGTTTGAGATCACAGTCCAACATGGAGCGCTGCTTCTCAGCTTCCAACAGCCGATTCTCTACTTTCTGCTTTAAAGCTCTCTCTTCCAAAAGTTTCTTTTCCATTTCTGTGAAGTAAAAAATGTAAGACATCAGTGAAGTGTAAACAGCAGATTTTGGAAGCCAAAGGGAAGAGGATATCCACCCTGTACTAACAATAAGCCATGTTTTTCCTTTTAAAGCTGAAGAGAAAGACTACTTAGAAGTGATTAATTAAAATTTTCACAGCAGATACACACCCAGAGGATGCTTTTTCAAGCATTTCTGACAAGCTATTTCCTACTTTTGAGCTTCTAGATAACTTCCAGTTTATCTGCAACACCTCTGAGACAAACAAAACGGGTGGAATTTTAAAAATAAAACATTTAAATCTACTGTGCTCTGACTACAACAGTATATAATCAAAGAGCTGAAGCTGTTTGGGAACCTGATATGCCAAGTGACTCAGCCATTATTACTGAATCATTCTTGCTTCTTTTGAAGATCTGCATGCTCAAATTTTTTGTGAATGCTCTGCAATTGGAAGGACAGGATTTGTAGGAAGTTTTTAAATTAGCTGCAATAAACATAAGCCATTTAATTCAAAAGTAAGAGCTATCTTCTGGATTTTTTGGCAATTATCCCTGCCTTCAAGATGTTTCAGGTGTCATGAGATGCACCAGAATATGCACAATGAGAGATTTTATTATCTACTTTGTACAATTCACACCTAAGTCCAACTGTGACATCAAATACACACCTTTCATGGCTTCAGATTTTGCTTCCTCTATAGACTCATAGATCTTATTTTTGTCTGCTAATCGTGCTTTTGTGGCTTTATGTTCAGCTTCTTCTTGTTCAAGGTTCTGCTGCATAACTTTAAATTTATATGTCATATCTATTTCCATGTTGCTCTTTTCCTGTTAAAGAAAAAATAACATTGAAATAAAACATTAAATACACCAGGTTAGTGGCAGAGTTTTGAACAACAGTAACATGCTGCTTGGAAGGATGCTTGGATAGAAGAGAGAGCTCATGCTAAGGAACTGAGAACTCATTTCCATAAATGTTTTTTTTTGTGAATGCCAAAGTGCTCTAAAAATGGACAATGACATCCCCAGTTGCAAACAATTACAGAATTACTGCCTTAACAACCAAGATTCTGTAGTAAGAGCAGCTCAAAGATTAAGTTTATTAAGACATTTTTCAAGCCTTTTATTTCAGTAAAAGATTTGTTAAAAAATCCTATTGGCTGAGGTTCTTTTCTTTTTTGCAATAATGAGAGTTTAAAAAAACTCCACATATTAAATGAAATTTAGCTACTGTACATTAAGGTACACACCCGAGTACATAATTAAGTACTTAAGTACTTCAGCAGTAAAATGCATCATGATTGTATGATGTCTTTTTTCCTCCACTTCTCAAATTGGAAAAGAAAAAAACAAAACAAAAAAAACCAAAAACAAAACAAAAAAAAACCCACACACCAAAAAACCCCCCCAAAAAAAAAAAAAAAAAAACCCAAAAAACAAAAAAAAACACCCCAAAAAACCCCCAAAAAAACCCACCAACAAAACAAGGCTTATATTTTTGCATAGGTTTAGTTGCAATGTCTCAAATAATAAAAGTACAAATTCAAAAATTCTGTAAGAATTTAACACCAATAATGTTCATTTAGCAGTGTTGTTACCTTTTCTAAATCTGTGAGCTTTTCTTGCAATTGTCTTTTCTCCATTTCCAGTTTGGCTAATGCACTCTTCCCATTTTTCACTTCTTCTTCAAGGCTAGATATTCGACCTTAAAATTACCAAAATATTAATGAGGCTGCGGTCAGTGTGTGAAAACAAGACTGTATTTTATCTATTCAGAGATAACATTTTTAAAAATATAACAACTTCTAATTCTGACTATTAAGAATGTCTCCTTTTGGGGTGATTCTAAAAGTTTCCAATAATGTTTTATAGGTATCACCACACATTTTTTCTTAAATGCTATTCACAATTATGTAATGTTTTATAAAACAGCACTCTTACCTAGTCACAGTCTGAAATTCAAATAACACCACCCACACCAGAAACAAGAAGTAATCTTAACTTCAGAAGATTTGCAGAAATACCTTGTAAATCGCTGATAATCTCTGATCCATGACTTCGATCTCTCCTTTCTGATTCTAGAGCTGACTGAAGATTGAGATACTCCTTCTCCAGTTTGAGTTTTGCATTCTCTAGCAGGCAGTTCTTATCTTGTAATTCTCTATTATTAATTTCCAGCTGCTGGATTTGCTTTGTGCTTTCTGTCTGGTTCTTCCTTAACCTGGCTGCAGTATCAGACTCTGACCGCAGCAAAGAATTGGCTTCATCCAACTAAGATTGATAAAAACATAATTCAGAAACAATTAAAATATAAATCCCACTATTTCTACTACATAATACTACGTTTTATGGATTAAAGAAGTAAGGACTATATTTTAAGATTACTTTTGAACACCAAAACCTAACAAGAAAGAACCCAACTGCACATTTCAAATTCCTCCACTGTTACCAAAATCTGTACTTCAAGCAATGATTATTTTAAAATATACCTATGTATATAAAGCTGACATACCTGTCTTTGTAGTTGATTAATTTTTTCATTTGATATTTGAGAGTTCTGATTCCTCTTTTTTAAATCTTCGAGTTGGTCTTTCAAACTGTTAACTGCAATAAAAACAATTCAACATTGTTAATCACTGTCAAGAAAACACTTGAATTGGAACTATAATTAATTTATTTTAAGTATTAAAAACCCACATCAAAATGAAACCTTCAAGCATGGTTCAACATACCCTCATTTTCCAAATTGCGTTTCTTATCTGCTTCATGTTCTGCTTTCCTCTGGTATTCTGTATTCTTATGCTGAAGAAGAGCTTTCTCTCTCTCTAACTGCCTGACTGCAGACTCTACATTCTTCCTTGAAGTTATCTGGATATATTTAAAAAAATACACCACTAATTACACACACAGGAGTGGTATTCTTTTACGATAGAAACACAACTCTTGCACTCAGTTTAGTCTGTAATGGAGGAAGCCAGTCCATCTGCCTGCTGCAAATACTACGTATCAGAGCACGTGGTCAAATCCAGCCCAGGATGTCTATGGCCAGGAGCTTTGCAATTTAAATACTGTTTGATCATCTGGATTTGACAAACCTGGTAGACCTGCCTAAGCAGTCACTCTGGAAGCAGAGAAACATACATGTAAAGGTAAGGTCTTGACATGCACCTGCATGAGCCATACATTAAGTTGTACACAGCCACATCCAAATTTGCAGAAGCAGTAAGGTGCAAAGCTGGGCAAGAAATAGGGTCCTTTTACTAACACCAAGCAATCCAAAGCATGGTCTTCCTTCTCTGGAAACACTACTCTCACACCTTCAGTTTTTAAAATATGTTTGGGATACTTGTATCATGCTGTCTGTCAACTTAAAAATATGGTAAAAATCCAGTTCTAGAAAGAAATGAGCAGTTACAGTACAGAAATCATAATAAAAGTATTTTAGCAGTGACAACAATTTCATGCTTGTGAACACCAAAAAAACAACTGGAGTTATTTGCTATAAAATATACAGCTACTCAAAAGCAATTTGCTGTTATTGAAGGGGAAAATCTACGCACAAATGTTAAAGTTCTAATTCCAGTAAGAAATCTATGGCCTTACCTCTTCATCGAGCTCTTTTGCTATCTTCTCTAAACGAACACTTGTAGACCTGAACAAATTTGAAAAATAATTTTAAACCCTGCTGATAAAACAGAAATTAGAATGTTTGGATGTGTTACACTATTTTTATGTAAGGTGCTTTTGTCTCATTATTTTTATGCAAGATATCCTATTTTAAGCAAAAACATGAAACCTCAAAGGACTGGTGAAATCACTAAACAGTGAGATTCTTATAGGGAGTTAAAGCAAAAAAAAACCTCAACAAACCCCCAGAAAACCACCCCAGTACTCACAGGAGTAGTAAGAATTAAGCCAGCAACTTACAGCAAGGTCTGCTAGCAGAGCTGGGAATCCCCAAAGTGGATTAAAATGCTTTTAAGCATTCAAAAACAAAAGGTCTAATGAAACATCTTTATAAACATACCAAACATGTTGAAACATTCTCACCTGTACTTCTGTTCTAGTTCATCTTTGGCTTGTAATTCATTACTGAGCTGTTCTTCTAGCTTGCTTAGTTTTTTCTGAAACTGTGTAAAATGTCAAAAAAGCATAGCCCACATATAAAAATATACTTTCACAGAAAACAAATGCAATTCAATTAAATAAAAAATAAGGGAAAGCGAGGAAAATTAATTCAATTTTCCAGTATATTATTTTAAAACCATTACTAGAAGGTTACATCTTTACAAGGTATTAATTGTGATAATTTTAAATATATGGATTTATAGCAACAAAATTTGCTGCATACTGAATTGAATTGAACCATCACAGAATTAAGTGCCACAGATTGTGAGTCATTAAATTTATATGGGCAAAAAACATTGTTACCGGCCCTTTGTTGTGCTCTGTAGCCAGAGACTTTCCACTGGAGCAGATGTTTTTGGATAGCATTTTCTAAATGAAATGAAAAAATAAAAAAGGGGTGTACATGACCAAATTGGACAATATTAGATAATATGGCTAAACATGTTGAATGACCTCACATAAAGAAGAATTTCTTAGTCTCACATCTTGGAAGCTAATGAACACTTTGGATATGATTTGGTTTGCTTACTGAAATATTTTAAAGAAATAATTGTGAGTCCAGTATGCAAATATTAATGAAATAAATTATAAATAATAAATTTTGGATTAATCTCATGACTTCAGGCTTTCAAACGCATTTATTTTCCTCCCTTCCTCCTCCTCCTCTACCCCCCAAACATGAAATATAAAAATGTGGTTTTCCAAAACACTTCATAACTGTTACAATTAGCAGATTTCCACAACAGGAACATTGACAAGGACATCAAAACTGGAGATTTGTTGCTTGAGAAAATACAAATAAAATAAGTTGTCAGAAGTGAAATGCAAAATTTTACCATCTGCATTTACTAACACAACATAAAGCAAACATCATGAAGGCGACCATATGTATTTTAAACAGCAGTACCATTTCTATTTAAAAGGTGAAGTCTAAAACTATTCATCTCTTCATCAATGACAGGAAGGAAGTGGAGTCTAATAATGTTGTGCATTTAAATTTATCTGGTCAATACATAATGCATTTCCTTTATGTATTTTTTAAACTTTGAAAAGGAATGATAAGTTTTAAGAAATGTTAACAACATACTATCTATATTTGAAAAATACAAATATTTTAGTAACATAAGTAAGTATATGAAAATACCATTGCTTTTCCTGTCATGCAAATTTAAATTCATTTGTCAATCTTCACAAGCTGGATAAACAAGCTCCATATGCTCCAACTGGAGTATGATTTAAACATTCCTTTATCCCTGCAGGTGACAATTTACTTTTTCAAACTCTGAATAAATCAGTCATGAATCATTAATGCAAGTGTGGGACCTTCACAAGAGTAATGCTGTCTGTAGGAAACAGAGCCTCACACATTGGCTTTCCAAACAAATTCTGGATGCAAAAAGAATTCGAGAAAAATCTGTATTAATTTCTCTTTATACTACTGTACCTTAACACTTGATTACAACTGCTTCAAAATACAACTGGTTTACTGCTAACAATTTGGTGAATAAATATTAAAGTTACTTCACATTCACATAAAATTATGAAGGATTTTTTTATTCCTTTCATAATTCAGATACTATACTTACGTCTTTACAGTCCTGTAAACAGAAAATATCATTTTTATTGAGGATCATTAAAAGACAAAGAGCTCTCCACAAAACTATTTCAACACTTATTTTAGACTTTGTCTTTTCTTAACAAACTTAATAAAATTAGTTAATCATCCCATTAATACTAAGGAAAAAAGGCACTAACCTCATTTTTACTAGATTGCACAGATTCATTTTCTCTGCAAGACTGAGAGGAGTCACTTAGCAACCTGTCAAAAACAAAAACAAATCCCTCCAGCTCTTACTCAAGTTTTCAACAACTCTGGCAACCTTGCCATTTTAATCTATTCTCTCAAATCTCAATTTGTCCCATGCTGCTCTCAGAATGAAGCTCGTTTCATTTTGGTGTTAGTGCATCTTTCTGATTTGAATTGTTCCTTAACAGAATGTTTCCAAAACTACAGCAGCTTGAATTTTTTAATTCATACAATTATTTCTTGATTATTCAAGATGAATTCTAGAAAGTTATTATGCTGTGTAAGCTTTCTTCTAAAATAACTAATAAAAAGCAATTTTAGAAAAAAAAATTACAAATCTATCAGAATTTTAACCTGAACTGATTTTTTAAGAGATTGTATAATTTTGTGCATATAAAAATACACTGTTTAATCAGAGTTATTGAAATAATTGAAAGAGTGACAAATTATTTTACTCAAACTTTGCATTTTGTATCTTCACAACTGGACATAAATTAATATAATGCAAGGAAGAAATTATGTATTTAGAGTGAAAAAAGAAAGAATATAAGAAAAAAATGTGCAGGTATGTTTTTAAAAATGCATATTAATGTATCACATACAAATTGTCTCTATAATAGGTAAATCCTATGAAAGGCAGCTGGTTTCCCACGAAGGCTTTGGGGATCGGAAAGGTCTCCACGTCTCCCTTGTCGTCCTCAATGTCATCAAAATTACTGCTATCTATATCACTGCTAAGCTCAGGAACAACAGGAGCAGCAGCTATAAAAAGGGGGAAAAAAGATGCATTTCACTCCAAGACTCAGTCACTTGCTATATACAGGTATCTCTCTAGTGTTAAAAGACTGTCTTGTATGTTGTCCTTAAACAACTTTTTCTAGAGCAATCTATTTTTGTATTCATTGCCTAATGCACAGACCATCTAGTATTGCAAGACATATTTGCTCAGGTAATCACATTTGAGAATATAATTTCAACTACAATAATAATTTTTAAACTTCTTAGTAAATATATAACTTTAGAAGTTATGACAAGCTTATAAGAACTGACATACTTTGCTTTTTTACCTAAAGTGATCATGTTCTCAATACCTTACATGAGAAAACATACAGTAAAACTCACAGGACCACTGTCAAACTACTGTCTTAACTACCAGAAGATTAAAAGAAAAATGAAAGAAAACCAAAAAAAAATCTCAAAAGAACAAAAAAAACCAGAGAAACAGAACCTAACATGCATTCCTTTTAGTTAAAATTTTGAACCCTTCAATTCCATTGTTTAAAATTGAAACTTCTACATCAAAAACACGATAAAGGTGAGGTAATCCCAGTAGGAAAAATGCATATTTATTAACCCTCCCTCATCTAAGATTTTATAATACAAGTGATAAAAATGAGTGTTTGAGCAAGATTCTTGATAGTCAGAAATTACTGTTTATACAACCAGAAGTTTTTTTCATTTCTACTATTATAAATGCTGAATAAAACAGAATTTTAACCTGATTTACTTACTCTCTCGAATGTTGTCCCAGTTCCACTGATCACTTCTGAAGAAAGGGTGGTGCTTTATTTCTTCAACCCCATTTCTCCCAAGTCGCACATCCCTAAACAACAATTAATCCAGAGTCACAAAAATAGCTGCTTTTGTTTTGGTTTTTTTTTAAATTTTTTTAAAATTCTGACTTGTCCATAAGCAGCAATGAAACTTTCAGTACAGATTGTCTATGTTAACCACACTAATGATCAAACAGAAACAAAACTGAAAAAACACCAACCACTAATCTGTAGTTTCTTATATAAAATTTACTGATTCTTAGCATGCACTCTGCCTGTGACTGCTAAAATGTCCAGAATCTGGAGTCTGCCACGTGGGGAGTAAAGCAAGAAAGTGAGCACTGAGGCAAAAACTAAGAAAAAACTAAAAACACAAACAAAAACTCAACACCCTTGGGGGAAATAAAACTGCAGAACTTTCGTGTCTGCCAAACCACATGACAGACCGTAAGACGCAAGTGCAGGAAGGTCTGACTTGCTGCACAGAACAGTTATTCAAAGCTGGGCTAAAATAAATATTCTAAGAATTCCATCCTCTGCCCCACAACTAACCCTGACACGTCTCTTGCTGATATTTGCCACGAAGTAAATCTTAAATGCAACAAGAAACTTTTAGTTTGAACAGAGGAGTCTGTCTTGAAACTACGTACAAGCACAGGACATAAAAACAATGCATGGAAAAGAAGCCATAAATCAGGGTCAATGTTTAGTCCCTCTTTAAGTGCTTCAGCAGTGATCACGCAGCATCTGTTTCAAATAAATTGCTCGAGCCCTGTGTTAAACATAAACAGGAAGAGGGACACACGTAGTAGAAGTCCACCTTACTACATTTACACTATTAAATTCTAATCATATTTTCTCTCTACCCTTCAGCTACTACGGGTGAAAAATGCTGTTAAATAAAGCACATCCTTCCTGACCAACCGCAGGCTTGCTCAGTAGAGCAAACAATCTCTCTTTGAATGCAAAACCCATTATAAGGCACTTTGTTTTCCTAATTCCTCCTTCTATGGCAGCTGGATGCCCTGCTCCAGCCAAGTTCAGGTGATCACAGGAAAGCACAAGAAGGCATCATCGATCCAGAGCTAACTGTGGACCTACACTGTTGTTCTTTTAAATCAGTAAAATTGAAGATTATCTCTGCTTTCTGAAAGTAAGCAAAATGTAAGTGTTTAGGTCAAGAACAAGCTTACACAGCTTAATTTCAGTAAGTGGCTTAGTTCCATCAAGGGAAACTTCTAGGATATTTTTTGGTAGCCAAAACAACAACCTTGCGGGTTTGTTAGCTATATTTACCAATTAATGCAACAAAGCAAATGAAAAAAAAATTCAGTAAATACATGCTTACTTTCAGAAAAGTATTTCCTTCCACTTTTTTTAAGTCACACCCACACAGACATTGAGCAAAACAATTTTGTCCTTGCCTTGGAGTTACGAATTACTTTCAGCCTTACAAGTTTGTTAGTGCAATTGGAAGGATTTGTCCAGCACAAACTGTGTTGTTAACAAGAGCTGTCAGAACTGCTCATAGAAATAAAATACAATACCTGGAAAAAACACCTCAAAAGAAAAACTAGAGAACAGGAGGTTTGGCAGAAGAGATTTGAACAGAGATCAGGAGAAGTAGGAGAAGGAATTAATTTTTACAATGTACCATCCAAAATAAAAAACAGTGCCAGAACAGTATGTACACTTACCTATCAGTTAAAAAGGCACAGATAAGGTTCTTTGCATGCTTAGAGATTTCCACATCATCAGGGAAATGCAATGAGTTCTTATGATCCATAATTTTACTGTATGTTCCTACTAGCGAGTCTGCATAAAAAGGAGTATCGCCTGAAAATAAAATAGTGAATTGGCTGTGATTTTACATCATGTTTAAGTTATGTGAGTCAAGCAAGACAGAAGAGATAATGAAAAGTCTACAAGCAGTTTACCTAGAAGAGTCTTTTATTAAGAAAAAATTTGGACATACATTGTACAAATAATGCATACTACTAAAAATATTCCTTCCCTAAAATGTCTGTGTTACAAACTACACAATTTTCCATCCGGTCTATCACTACCAAAATTTTGCCTGGTGAATTACATCTTTTGTTCTGCCTTAAAGCTCTCAATATATTTTCTAATTTACACAATGGCCGACACCCATATGAATCAATCTTTAAACATTCCAAGGGTAAAATGGACCAAAACTCATTAAAGACTTGCTCATGCACATTTTTTGGAAGGAATCCACCAAAGCTCTCTGAAGATCATTTCAGAGGCCCACAGGTCTATCCTCCCTAAGGCATGTCAGCTCTAAGTAGGAGCCTTCCCAGTGTGTTACCACACTGTTAAACCCATATTAATAAATCTTGTTGACTGACAAATTACATCAGCTTGAGTGCTCATATTAACACGGAAGGTGGCTTTTAAAATAATTGACTTTTCTTACCCCGAGGTTTCCAGCCTAGGCTGTAGTTAAAGATATTTGCAAAGGAACTAGACTTAAGAAAGGTAAAACTGGGGCAAGTGAAAAGAATAGGCTGTGATAGAGGCAACTGACAATCAAATTAACTGGCAACATTGTTAACATACAAATGGTTTGAGTCTGTAATCAAGAAGCTGCAACTTTCACAGGAATCCTTTCTCCCAGCTAATCCACAGGTTTAATAGAGAAGGTGAACAAAGTGAACGTGAGCTGGGCTCTCTCCTGGGTTCTGGTGTGCTGCGTGCAGGCAGGAATCACCCGGCATCGCAGGCCGCAGCCTTCAGCTAGGAACTGAGCACCTCCAAAGCCACAAACATGAAAAAATGTAAACAAACCAATGGACAACAACCATTCTGCTTTTGAAAGAACAATCCCAACTTTTGTCTCTTTCTGTCATTTTATAGAAAACTAAGAAAGTAGTACACACCAGCTTGAATTTAACTTCTAGACTTTTAGTAAATTTATTAGGTTGCCATGCCAGAGCATTGCAGCTGGGAATCACTGATATTTGCTGCTGCCTCCCTCTTTCCCAACCTTCCTCTTCTGTCTTGGAAACAGCTTTGATTTTGGCCACACCTCAAAACTATCTTAAGACACTGAACTAAAGTTAGGATTCATCCTGTGACCAACATTTTACGGTTTAGTTAAGCACACAATAAAATTTTCATTTTCATAATAAAATTACCATTTTCATTAGTTCTGCAGCTTTATCAAAACCAGAATAAGAAAACTGTTTCTGTGGTTTCTTTGAAGTGCAAAGTTTTAGAAGACCATAGCCCGAATCTGATACTAAGTACAGATAAAAACAGATACTTTCTACCAATATGTGGGATATGGAGAAATGAAGTAATATTTTCCTCCTAGATACAGGGAGGACAAAAAGAGAGGCTCTGAAATGCTGAGAAAACATTCTGGACAGCTATGCCCAATATTTCAAGAACAGAATAATTTTATTTACTGCTAAAATTGTTCATGAGAGACTATTAAACCACACATTCTTAAAGTCAAAATGCTGTAATTCTGAACGAGTTGGAAATAGTAACAGCATCATATGTTTAAGTGTATTTCCTGTCTCAGCATACCAGAAACATCAAATCTGCAATATTCCCAGAAAATGCTGATTTTTAAAATTGTACGGTCAATTACATCCTTCCATAATCAGTATTTTGCTACCAGACTATCATACTGATCCTCACTATATTTTAAGATGCAGATGACTCATGTCCTTAATAGATTATATTCTATGTTTGTTGCCATAGCAGTCCAGTGAATTTTACTAGAAAATCCTGACTCAAGCACAAAAGAAAGAATCGAGCCATACTTCCACACTTTGACCTAACAGAAGACACTGATGTGCTGTGGTAAAGGACAAAAGAAAAGAGCAGGCCTGCCCTCGCCATTCCTCTCTTCTCCTGTGTCCCTGTAAACTCAATCCTGCCTGAGGTGGCACAAATGTGGTGAGGTAGCTGACCCCAGTTAAAACTATTCTAAGAATTAGTTTTAAGCTGAACCAAGTCAGGGAACTAATCACTGAGCAAGCACGCAAACAGCTGTCACACCACCAGAGTGACAGAGAGCAAAGAGAACAGCAGCGAGCCACAGCAAGTCAGAAGCTGTCAGAGAGGTACGAGCAGCCTCCATGCAGCAAAGTGCAGCTAAAGGCACAGCGAAGACTCAATGATATCTCATTAGCGGAAGAAATCATTACTTACCAACTAACATCTCAAAAAGGAAAACCCCTACAGACCACCAGTCACATTCCCGTCCGTAATAGCCATCGCCCCCCTGCGATTTCAGGACTTCTGGCGAGATGTAGTCGGGAGTCCCCACAGCTGTGTCGCAGCGCACCATTCCTGTCTGGGCAACAGCAACAACACAAAAGGCTCAGCTCAAGGGCCTTCTGAGCACTTCTCTAACCAATTCCTCTGTTAGTAAGACAGAAAACCATCAAAAATATAGCCGAAAATACTTGGTTTCAGGAGTGTGTTTTAAAGACTAATTATAATTCAAGAAGCAATGTGTATTGAAATGACATTTCTTGGTAATGTCCTTACCCCTGCCTACTCCATAGTATTTTTCTTGACTTCATCTTCTCAAAATTCAGCAATTTTATTATTTTTACCATTGGTTTTAATATGAAGGTAAACAGCGTACCAGACTGCTCCTTTCCTCATTGAATTCAGGGACATATTTTAGAATAATTTTGACAAGTTATGAATTCTAGGCCTACAAAGCAGATACATAACAATTTTGTCTAATTCAGCCTATAAATCAAATTATAGGTAATTTTTTATACACGCTTTGCTTATGTTTATATATAGAAAGAAGAATAAAAGGAGAAGCTATTTTTAAAGAATAGCAAAGCTTTATTTTTTTTATCAACATATTACCACAATTGTATCAATGAAATGATTCCTCATACTCTGCTTCACACTGAGAAACTAAAAATGTAGGGAATGAGTGATGCAGAAGCATCAATCAGCTCTGCCATCATTCTGATTCAGAGTTATAAGTCTTGTTTCCTTTAATGAAATTCACTGAATTCTCTCCTGAGACCAGATGGATGAATGAAATGAAATCCTGGATGAAGTTAGAGAAGTACCAAAAATACACTCTTCTTTTATTATGTTTCCTAATCCAAAGTTTTATCTAAACCATTTTACAAAGCTTTTTTTGTGCCTTTTGCCATCAGCATGAATGGCAATATATATTAATTTTGAATATTAATACAAAATACTAGTAGCAACGACTGAGTTCAAAATACATAGTTAAATAAAATAAGAGAACCATTTGATTTTGGAATTGTACTGATACACAAAATTTAGACACCACATGACAAATTCTTTCTCATATACAATATGAACTGTGAGAAGCGTTTATTTCTGTACTAAAACAGAATCCAGAAAGTCATGAACCAGCAGGCAAAAACTAAAGGGATGACTGCATACTGTAAAGACCTATGGAATACTTCAAATGTCCTCCTGGCAAGTGCCTATCTTCTATGACTCCATGCTAAAACTGAAACCTAAAGGAATTTTAAATTCTCAGTTCCAGAATGAAGAGACGAAGAGCAGGCCGAAGAATTGAACAGTAGAACAAAGAAATACTTCTACAGTAAGAGAAGCCTTTGCATGTTAACACCAGGCTCAATGGGCCATTACTCTCTGAAGCACATGAAGCTGCTTCTATTTATTCCCCATAAAACTCTCTACCTTCTGTCTCAGGAACTAACCTAGAAATACATTTACAGATCACAGAACAGCCTGGCTTGGAAGGGGCCTGAAAGATCATCTAACTCAACCAGTCAAAGGAAAAGGAGCTGATAAAAGATTATCTAACACCCTGTGGGACTGCATTACAAAATGGGGATTCTACCAAGTCCTTCAGGAGGTTGGCCCATTATCACCTGATTATGAAATTCCCAGATTTCTGTTCTGCTCATTTACACAGTTCTTTCAAAGAACTTTTGGTGTTGTTCTGTATGTATTTTTAAGTACTGGATACCTTTAATACCACAGTCAGCCTGTGGTCTCTGGCATCAAAGTTGAGTAAACAGGGACATGCTCTCTGTCCAGTACAGGGCACTTTGGCAGTCCCTTCATTCTGAAGAGACTTAAATGGCGCTGTTTTCTCTGGGCAATGTGTTACTCCTGTGTTTCAAGCACAGCCTCTCTGCCTGAGGAGCATTCTTACTGTAACAGTTGTCATGCAAAGCTTCCTGTCAGGAGTCTCAGGCCAGTGTTTTACCTGAAACTTTTCTCATCACCTCAAAAGATCATGGTGGACCTTGGAACTCATCTCCTGCAGATACGTGAGAGATGTACAGTGCAGTGCACAATCTTAAAAAACAGGCTGTCCAGGAGACACAGCAATGCTCTTGCAGATCCTGACAACTTGGAGGTGAGGCTGTCATGCTTCCCAGCATCATTCCACATTATTTTATTGCTGAAGACAAAGCAATTCAGGTTTCATCTTCAGGAGGATCTCCATCAAACCTGAAGGACTTGCTGTCTTGAACCAAGGCTGACAATCAGGCTTTCACTCCCTCAGGGAGTTCCTTCCAGTAAACAAGATGGGAAGGGTGTTTGTGTGGAAACACAAGGACCGCACACATCAGGTGTTAAGAGCAGACAATGCACCGAGGCAGGAAGGATCCAGCAGAGTCCTTTTCACTGGACAAGCTTCAGTGAGAAAGAAGCTGAGCTCCAAAAAGAGGAAAACGCTGCTTCGTTCAGCTAAACTGCCTGGGCTGAGGCAATAATCCCAAGTGGCAAACATCCCTTCTTTTGGTCACATCTTTTTCAACAGATACTCTCTGAATCGGTGCTCTGCTGAAAGCTCAGGAGCACAGGAGAGTGCTGAGCATGGCAACACTGGGAGCTCCTGGCCCTGCGATACCAACCAAAGCCAGCTGCCGTTTCAGCTCTTACACAACACCTGAGGATTAGACAGACTGGTGAACCCTGCCCTGGTCCACCTAATATACCTAAATACCAAAAACGGGAACCACAAATCCTACTCAATGTTTGAGTCTAATGCCATTCTTTATTCAACAACAGAAATACTCACTTTGATGCAGATTTTAAATTAGACAACTAATTTTAAAAAACCTAGACAAACAATGAAAAACAATGCTACCAACCCCCAATTATCACAAATGAGTTACAAAACCAGAACAGTTCCTTTTATGCTGGGAAAGATCACCTAAACACTTAGCAACTCTTTACAAAATGATAAGGAGAAATTCTGCTGCAAGTGTCTGTTCTGGCCTGGCTGACTTAAGCAAACACTGAACACAATTCCACAGCAAAGGTCAGAAAAATCCCTCAACAAATGGCAGCAAAATTTTTCTGGGTTTTCAACAGCATAAGGAAGATGCTAATGCTCACTACTGCTAAAAGAGATCCAAATCCAAAAAATAAATAAGTATTGGGTAAGCATATATTTTTTTACAAATCAGTCTGCCAACATCAATATTATATTTACACAGCTGGGATGTGTTCATGTTTTGTAAGAAGTAGCATGAGATTTGGAGACAATCCAGAACCTCTCAACTTCTAAAAGCTTCCTGTAGAAAGCTTCTCAAACTTCTAAAGCTTCCTGTACAAAAAATTTTTGCCATTCCACTGACTGTGAGAAACACAAGGAACTTAAAATTGAATCCTTTAAAAAGTTAACTTCTCTAGGAGATCACTGGTCCATTGATGATGCCTGGTCTAAAGTGGAGCTCACTGTAACTTTATGAGAAACACGGATGCATTTGTCACATTTACAATACCATCATAAAAGGTATAGGTCCACCATTTCTGAGGCCCCTAAAATACCACAGAGGATCGCCGTTTTTTGGTAGATTTATATTGTGAGCTTTTTGATGCTTTTTTGTTGTCGCTTCCAACAAACAACAGATTCTTTTAAGACAATCTAATTACAATTAAGAGACCAAGTACTACTTTTGATTTTTTTAATTAAGTAAATGCTGTCCTCTAAAATACATGAAAGTAAATTAACAAAATGGAGGTACATATTGTCTCTGCCTTTAGACTAACAAATACAACATCAACAAAACTGAAGAGACTGAACTTCAATAAACAGCTGCAGTTGGACAATGATGAAATTAATATATTGTCACATGAAAAAAACCCACCCAGAACAGACACAGTACTTCTGGATACTACTGAAGAGACATTAACTTAATGATGCAAATGCAAATTAAGTAGATCGCAGAAATGATATCAAGCACTGCCTAAACAATACAGAAAAAAACCCAAAACATAAAAGCAAGTAAGCTTAAAAGGATCACCCTTGCCAACACTACTACAGAAAACTTTCAAAGACCAGGTAAATCATAGCACACATTCATATACAGCTTTTTGTATATGTTAAAATCTTACAGTTTTTCAAAAGAAGAATAGTTAGTTTTTCATAGGAAGAGTATATTCTGTAAATTACAGCACAACACTGTCTGTCAGGCAAGATTCTAAGAGTGTAAACTACAAAAGGTCATTTTCAAGGTTTTTTTTTAATAATATAAAGTATCCTGTTAAAAATATTCTTATACAAACTCATTAGAAAACTGTATTTGGCTATACATGGCTAAATCTGGACAATTAAATAATTTTAATTGATATCTTGGCATCCTGACAAATAACTAACAGATTTTAATCAATATATCACATACCACTGCTGCCGTACTGTGACCTCATTTGAATGACCACTAGAGGATGCTATGAGAACAATTAGATGAAGGAAAAACACACACAGAATGTATCTTGCCTATAAAATAATTTCATTTACAAAAAAATGTCATCTTATGAACTGCTCCAAGATTATTAATGTTGAAACTAAGAGTTATCTTGCGAGCTTTTCAAACATTTGGTAAAAAAATTGTACCTTAGAAATTCATAAAGGCACATGCTTCCAAAAATAGCAAAGAGTAAGTTTACATCCTTCTTCCATGTGAGGGAACAGTTTATAACAGAAAAGGTTATACTATTTAAAGTACTCTTATATTTAAAATAGGAAACAAGAATCAGCTTTCTAATCAAGTAGTTCATTATATGAATATTCCTTTGGGTGTTATACTTCATAAGAAAATAACCTTAGATATAGATGTAAGATAGAATTACAGTTTAATAGACGGTAAATTATTCAGTTGCATACTTACTTCATCCATTTTCATGCAAGTGCCAAAATCTGCCAGCTTCAGATGCCCATACTTATCTAAAAGCATATTGTCAGGCTTCACATCTCTGTGTATCAAGCCCATGGAGTGAATTGCATCAAGAGCAAGAACCACTTCAGCTGTGTAGAACTTGGCCCATTTCTCAGGCACATCGTAATTGCTCATAAGGTTTACAAGATCTCCGCCTGGCATATATTCCATTACCATGTACAAATATTTGTCATCTTGAAAGGCACAAAATAGCTGCAACATTAAAAAAAAGGAAAGGAAAAAAATGCAATTATTTTTCAGACAGCTAGGGAAAGGAATAAAGCCCTTTATCTTGAAGTTTCATTGAACCTGAGAATACTTTTTCAAGATTACTTTTAATATGCATAAAATATACATTTTTCTATTAACTATGAGAGTACCTTGAAATTTACTGAACTTCAGAAACCCCTCATTATAATTTTTAAGACAGTATAAAAGTATTTCCTGATTATTTTAATACTATAGGCATCTATCTGTCTATCTATCTATCTATCTATCTATCTATCTATCTATCTATCTATCCATCCATCCATCCATCCATCCATCTATCCATCTATCTCCATGTTTCCTGGCATTAAGAAGTGTCACTGAGTCAAAATGCAAAGTAACAAATCTGCAACAGGGAGCATCCTGTTCTGATTTGAAAATAGATCAACAGTGAGCAGCATCTTAGACTGTTTCCAAATTTTCTATATTACAAATTCCTTATCTCTGTACATGTTTGCAAAGTCACTGCTGATTTTGTCAACACATATTGAAATAAGAAATAAAAACAAAATGTTCCTGAAGAAAACTAACACAATACAAAGAAACGGTCCTTAACAATAAAATGCTAGTCTGGTATAAGTGGCAGTCAGTATGTTTCCTACTAGCATGATAGTAAAAGTAGCATGATAGTATGTTTCCTACTAGCATGATAGTGAAAGTAAATTCAGTCTCTTTAAAATGTATTTCAGACCCAGAGTGCTGAAGTTTTAGAGATTCCACTTGGTTATCACCAGGCCTGAAAATAGCCCAGTCCAGCAAAAAGCATTACTATCAAATGTTCAGTGACTGTGAAAAAGTCTCTGAAAGTCTCACCTTATTTCTCAGGGAAATTACCTTAAAAACTAAAATCATTCATATCTTTAAATTACACAAAAAATTAAAAGGCAATTAAAAAACAGGATACATGGAAAGGATGAAGTCAGAATCAGGGAAACTGGAGGATGAGGAACCATGAAAGGCAGGTATGTTATGGAGATTTGACTTTCAGATCAAAATTACTAGCATAAGTAGTGACAGAAGACCTAGATTAGAAATAAATATTTTAATACATATATGCTGCACTGTATTTGCTTGCACAAATGGATAATGTTTCCAATATATAGTACAATAATTGATTGGGCCATTAAAATCCAAATGAAGATTCAAAATAATCTCTATTTTATCACATGTAGAGATAGTAATATAAAAATAAATAACAGCACTATGTCTTTATACAGCACTTTAGTTATTGCTCTCAAGGGATTTAATAAAAAAAATTTAAAATTATCTAGGGCTCTTGTTTCATTTCTTTTTCAAATTAAAAACTAAACAGAGAGAACCAGCGTGATCTGTCCCAGTTTCTAGATCAGAACAGGACCTATATTTTCTTCAAACCAGCTCAATGTCTACCCCACTGGACCACATCACCTAAATATATCACACTAATACACAATCATAGAAGGCACAATTGCAACTACACTTTAGTTCACTTGCTATTTACAAATGCAGACACACATTTATATCCTGCTTGTGACTCTTTCCTTTGAAAATCGATGCCATGCATTTCTCGTTACTTTCAACTGCATGTGAAAAATAGTTCCTGACAATTACTAGAACAAAGAACTAAGTAAAAAAATCATCTATTTGTTTAAGTATTTCTGTTGAATATAGGCAAGAGCACAAAATGTGCTCAATGAGCAAAACATATTTGTACACCAGAGGTAAAGTGTTATGAAAAAGATATGGAAAGCTTCAAGTCAGTCTTATCAAATATAAAGAAGCATAGAAATATATATGAGAACATTTAAATTAATTATAAGGACTAACAATTTCTCCAAGCACACATTTTCACTACTCCTTTTGTTAACTGGCGCAATTTACCAGTTACAACAAATGGCAATAATCAGTACTGATTGTTCCCGAAGGCATAATTCACATTACAGCATCTTGATGACACATGTCACCAGGCAGCTGCAAGTGACAGCGTCCAAGACCAGGGGAAGAAGTCAGCTCTCTGTTACTGGACATGCCGAGTGCTGATGTGAGTTCAGAACTGACCACTGTGAGAAGATGGTTTCAAGGAAACCACTGCTACAGCCCCTGTCCTTGCAGGAGACCAGGACTGCACACTCATCCATATATCAAACTGCAGCTGAAAAGACAGTGGCTATTTAAAGCACTCTTAATATCAATTGCCTGTGATCAATTGACTGTATCATGAGGTCATTTGTTTCTACATCATCATCACATTTGTTTCTACATTCCTATACAGAATTTTTTACCGATGGAAAGATAACTTCCTTATTTTTCCAAATAATTATGCAGGCATTTCAATAATCTATTTAATTCTGTTTTATGATTAATTTGTAGTAACTAAAATGCAAATTAATCTACTTTTTAACACAGCCAAGCATACAAAACTTAGTGAAATTGCTGTAAAAATATATTTTTTAAAAGTAAAAATCTGAACCTAAACCTTGATTTGAGTTTCAATGTAAATTTAAAACCAGCTCAGGACTGGGAAGTATTTATGGCCTCAGCATCATTACTACTGCTATTGTTGCCATTATTTTACTTTTATCTTCCTTACCTGAACCACCCACGGGCTGTTGGCAAAGGCCATGATATCTCGCTCTTCCCAGAAAAAGGCTGAATCTGATCTCTTGATCATTTCAAATTTACTAAGGAGCTTCATTGCATAAACCTTCTGTGTCATTTTATGGCGAACCTGTTGGTTGAGAAAGAGGAGAATAAACCTTTTTAAAATGTCTTGTTAAAATCTGAGTACCAGCATAGCATGTTTCTGCTATGTGCAAACTGCTTTCTGGGATGTGATGCCTCCAGGTCTTCATACACCCAATTTTTTACACAGGAAGGATTTGAGAAATTCCAAACCTCAAAAGAAAAGTTTAACAGCTGCTCAAAAAACCCCACCACAGCAGGAAATAAAGTCTAACTCTGCTTTTATTTTCTTATTCTGAACACTGTCTTGACATTGAATTCATCCATGTTAGAAACTGGGCAAGCAGTCTGCTTCAATCTCTGCCAATTTTTATTTTACACCAAAACATGATTGCTCCTATTTATTTTCCTAAGCAGTTTTTAAATTAACTTTAAATGGTGCAAAATTAATACAATAAATCCTGTTGGAAAACTGGAATTAAAGCTTTTATTACAAAATATGAAAATATTTTTGAAAACTTCATCTGAATTCAGACATGAAACCAAATCCTTAAATTGCTCATTGCAGTCATTACTCAGCTAATTAATCATGTGATGTGATATTTTATGAAAAACTATTAAAGTAACAGGTTTTTAACATTCTTGAGTGTTTCTTAAAGAAATCAAGGCGAGAAGTATTCAGCTGTAAGAAGTTTGAGTCATCAGGACCTTAAGTTTCTGCCTATTTTTTTCCTGTTAAAATAAAAAATTCAGGACTACTTTTTGAAATCAATTCATGAAAATTGGGAAATGCACCAGAAACTGAAGTTATGATTTTCTGGTGCATTTAAAACCTCTCACATCTAGTAAATAAAGCAGATCTCCTGACTTCTTAGTTTTGCACAATATCTGAGTTTAATTATGTTACATGAAAGAACGTTTAATAGGCTTTTCTGAACAGCTGTAGATGCAGGTCCATGACACCTGCAGAGAAAGCTTCAGAGGGGCACCTGTTTGGTCTACAGATCTGGCAGCATCAGTCTCCTTCTCCTGAGGAGCTGCAAAATTTAATACTGCTGAAGGAACCGAAGAAGCATGAGGTGTAGGGGTAATCTTGGAAAAAGCAAGAACATGAACAGAAAGAGGATTATTTAAGGAGTTGCTGCTCCTGAAATTGGGGCTTTCTGCCTTCAAGATATAGGTGCAAAGGTTTTATTTATTATTAGTATCTTGCATAGCTAAACAGTAACAAACAACCTTCTCTACAATTAGATAAAAAAACCTCCAACCTAACACCAGAACAGAAACATGGTATCCATGTGGATTAACAACTCTGTAAGTATATTTTAGGGCATTAATTAGTCAGCTAGTGAAGGTGTCCTAAAACAGGATTTTGAAATCTATCTTCTTCCTACTTACTAATCCCACATGGGAAAATTTACAAAGACTTGGTGGTACACCACAAACTATACTCCCCTAAGTAGAGCTTTTGTAATCCTGCCCAAAACCAGAAGAAACACAAAGACCAGAAACCTCAAAAAGATATTGTTCAATTGAAGATGCATATTCTGTGAAATTTCACATGGAAGCTCTGCAATGTATTTAGTAGTTTACAATTCCTGAAGTCAGTGTGTACACTTGCCTAGGTGCAGTTGGAATAGCTGCCTGCATTTAGAAAAACAACTGTGTCCCATGCCTTGAGGAAAAAAATTCTTGAAAGTCATCACAGCTTGAAGGAAGCTCATATACAGTAGAAACAAAGTAAAGAGGGGTGGGGGGGGGGCTCAAAATCAGTCTGTACACCTGTCTAAATAGGGCCAACAGGTTATTGGCTAAATGATTTCTTGAGAAAATTTCAAGACGGGTTCTTTCTCTGTACAAAAACAAAGCAATAATAAGTATATTGGCACAGTCAGAGACTCAATATATCTTGGCACTCCTTGCAGGTGAGCAGACCTACCGCTGACATTCCTCCTCCTATCAGCACCATGGCCCCTGGAGACAGCCTTTTGAGCTGCTAGTCACTCTGCTCTTTATTCAGAGCTATATTTGTACATACAGATATTAGCTCATACAGCAGATTATTCATGTATTAAACTGTCATGATGTTTCAATTTCTTCCAACTGTTAAAATGAACTGCCAAATTTAAACTGCAGCTCACCAGAGTAACTCTCAAAATAGGTAGGAAAATCCCTTCATGCCATTAGCACTGAGTAACATGGCCTTGTTTAACTCATGAAAATGCATTAAGAAAAAAGAATTTCACTCTACTCTGCTTCAACAATCTAATACTTTCAATAAACAAAATGCCTCCATAATTTCCCCAGCATTCACATGGGAAGACAATCTGTAGGCAAAGAAAATAACACATTGATTTGAAGTTATCCGATTTAGTACATATTATTGTAATGATACTGTCTCTTTTATGATTTTGAAAAAAATTACGATCCTAGAGTGGAGTTTTGAAATGAACTCTAAGGCTTGAAGTAATTACAGGTATCCTAAAATAACTAATAAAGCTGTAAGAAATTACTACAGATAGGGTATCAAATTTTATGTCCTGACAAATTTTCAGGTAATAAAACATGACTGCTTTATCTGCTTTACTACAGAACTGTACATCTGCAGTGGATGGGGAATTAAACCTAATAATCAAAGCACTTAATGAAGAAAAATAAACCAGCATCTGTTTACACAACTATGACAACCAGTGCTTTGCAACTCTGAGAAATCAGACAGTAAAGACTGTCACTCAGACCATTCTGTAGCACCCAAACACAGGGAAGTGTTAACTTTGCTTTAGTTTTCTCTTCCAGTGCATGAGCAGGTCAGTCTGCTGTGTCACTGCAGCATTACAGTCCTTCACGGTTAGACCTGGGAGAAGGAACTAAGGATAAGTTTCAATTTCAAATCAAGATGATTTTCCACAAGTGAAAACAAACAAGAGGAACTCAGAATGTGCTTTCATAAATAACTGTTTCTGCATAAACCAGAAGTAACATGTTAAGTACCATAATTCAATTTTTCTGTCTGCCCTAGACACCAGTCACTTTTATTTACGGCACTGCGTAAGAGAAGAAGTCATCTGGCAATCATTTTCTCAGTTTTCCCCGTCAGTACAGACCCAGCAAAACCAAGACCAGAGCACAAGTGTAGAGTTTAATACTTCTGGATTTGTAAGGAAATTGTTTCTCCACCACAGTCAGATGCTCAGACCAGAGTCATCTGATCTCTCTTTATTGGACTATTTTCAAAATTTTTTGGAGGGGAGAGGAAGAGGAAAAATCAAGCCTTTTTAAAAAAATCTAGCTGTAAGACACAACAAAAGAGAATGTATTTCACTTTCTTGACAGAATCTGGAAAGCTGATTGCTTCACTTCAGTTCTTCAGCAAGAAAATATTATACTAGAGCGGAAAACTTATGGAAAATAAAATTACATGAAAGAGGTCATAGCTAACTATCTTAAGCTGCAAGCATTGCAAGCCAAAAAATGAGCTTACTAATATAATCATTAGAAACATATAATAAATATTTGTGCTACGATTCCTGTGCACAATAACACATACTGATAACACAACATTCATTAATTTAACTCATGCATTCAATCATGTTTTATTTATGGTTCTTTCTGTATTTAATCCCTACTGAAGCAAATTTCTATTTTGATCACAGAAAGCGTTGTAAAATATTTTCATTACTGCAAATCCATTATCTGCAACAGTGGTGTCAACATTTTGAATGGAGTAGAAATAGACAGAGCTTAGCTCAATAGTTTAAACTTGTACCATACCTTGTGAGGCAAAAAACTGAGGTATGTATGTCCACATCAGCAGCTAATATTAGTTCAGATCTGCAGTTGTATTTATTAGCCCACTGCTTTTCAGCTGTAAGACTGCATAACATTGTGATTTCTACTTGTATTTTTACTCTCCAGAAAAAGTGTTCTTTTAAATTGACATGAAGTACAGAAGAGCTCTATATGAACACTCAGAAGTTTTGTTCCAATACCAAGGATTCTTGCTTTTTTTGAAGGGCTTATTAAAGGTTTTTTAAAAACCCCCATGACAACAACACAACCCAAACCCCACCATTGTACTAGGCATTTTGTCATTACATTTAATGGTCGAGCAAATGAAAAATAAAGTATGTCTTCAGATCCCTCAAAGTGCCCAACTGCAGTATGTACACTACAAAAAATTATCTCTTCTTAAAAATTTAAATTGTGTATGACATAGTGAATTAAGAAAAAGAGTTTCCAGGACAAATCAAGACCTTCTATTTGAAATTAATTGTTAAAAAGAAATTAAAAATAATTTAGAAAAACCCTTCTGTTTTTAAGAAATACACATATGAAAACAATTAATTTTCATTTTTGAAGCACATCAAAAATATACTTCTCTTGGATGCTTCCAGGAAATATGAGTGTGACATCTAAAAATGGCACATGATTTTTGTTATTGGGACTTGCTCTTTTTCATCTCCTACCCCCTCAACAAATGGACAACGAACACTCCTTACCACTTGATTTTTCACTGACTTCACATGTCAGTGCATAAGGAGCAACTCTATTCACTGCTCCATATGGACTAATGTAAAGACACAGATGTCTAATAAAAGACTTTAAAATAAACCATTTGATGTGACTGTCACTGAAAAGACATGGACTAGACTGCTTTCTTACAAACACCCTGCAGCAGCTCCTTCACAAAAAAGTAAGGTTCTGCTGCAGGTTTTGTTTTTGTTCTTAATTTCTTGCCTATAAAGATATAAAATCATGCAAGGATACAAATATACATAATAATTCTTTAAAGCCATGCTAGAGAATGAGGATTTTTGGAAATACTCCATTCCATATTTCATTCACTCTTCTGGACAAAAACAAAGTGTAAATGACCCTTACAGAAAGAAAGATAAGAGAGTGCTACATTCTTGTGCTACTAGACTTGGATGAAGTTGTCTTAAAAAATGACATAGATGAATAAAAATGAAAAAATTAAATTGCTGATTAGATGTTGCTATCTGCCGTACTAATCACATCTAAATTTGCAAATTATCCAAGAGTCATGTAAATTGTTAGTCAGAGGGTTTTTTTTTTTCAAGTTCCAACAAATTTCAACAACTTTAGTATGGAAAATACAAAGAATTTTATAAATGGATCATAAATTTATTGCCATTATACGCTGTGTCTCCTATAAGCCCTTCACAGCTTAGATCTTACCATATTCCTCAACAAAACTCCAACACATCTTTGCATTTTCCAAAATGGTTATACATTACAAGACAATATGATTTTCCCAGCTTCCTATGCAAAATTACCACAGAGCAGTAAAATGCCAGCTCCAGGTCAACAAGTACAACCAAAAGAGTAATTTTTGTTACCTTGTGGTAACAAGATAACAAGCTTCAATTGCAGTTGCTCCCCTTTCCAGTGAGTTGCTTCATACCTCTCTTCCTCTAAAAATACTCACCCAGAAAATACCATGGATCAGCTGGTGCACAGTTATCTGTTAGCTCATGATAACTTGTCCCTAATGTTTGCATTCTAGATTCTACCTGGCACTTACATCCAATACATATTTCAAAACTGACATATCAATCCATCTCATACATAGGTTCACATTTTTGTGCCACTTATCAGACAGTAGGACTTGGAAGTCCTGGAAAAATCAAAATTAAATTAAAAGATTACATGTGATACATCAAGTTACTTTTTGTAGTGTGATTATCTTTTTTTATAACAGAATTTCTCTGCAATAGAAATTTTAAAAGTAATCTCATTCATACTTTAGATATTATATTGCATACAATGTCAAGTGGACAATGTTATGGAAGGAATCTTTTAAAAATCCTGTGAGTCATGTCGCTTAAAATACATTGCAAGCATCACAATTACAAGAACAAAACAAAAATCTTTCGTCGCGGTGTTCACCTGCTCTTTTGTAGAAGGTTTCATATATTATTATACAGTGATACTTGTGGCCAAAAAGATTTAGAATTCCCATGAGCTGCCTTTTTGGTTTTGATCAAAGGATAGAAAACATTCCTGAGTTCTTCCCTTCCTATCCATCATATTTTAAACTCAGATTTACTGTTTACTATGCACAGAAACAATCTCAATACAATGAAAATTACACTTGTTCTTTTCAAGAAGAATTTTTAAATATAAAACATGAAGATTGAGGAAGGTTTTGGCTAAAGCTGTTAATCTGTCTAAACATTAAATCATTACATTCTTACCAGCTGCACTTCTCCAAAAGCCCCTCTTCCAATCACCTTAACAACATCATAGTCTTCAGCTTTCATTTGTAAAGCTCGGATTTTTTCCACAATCTTCTCATCTAAAACAAATCAAACAGAAGTTGCGATAATGCATGCATTAACAGAATACAATTTTAGCTATTCATTTACAGTAAAAATAAGCTATTTTTATTCAAATGTTTAGAGCCTTCTTGGTAATTCTTGAAATCTGTAGTCACTATTAATATCCCCTTTCATTATTCTTTGGAAACTTTTAGCTGTCTACCTTTAGCTTTAACAAATGAAATATCTTTCATATTTTGCTGACTCTCATTTCACACCTCTAATAATCATTCACAAGCTTATGGGAAGATTCTGGAAGAGAGCCAGAGATGCCTATCTGGAATTTTCAGTCATTTCTTGCTACCTGCTGCACTCCCAGGATCCACTGACACTCCACTGATAATGCCAAGGTGGAGTATGTGGTATGCAAAAAGCACTGCAGGTGCAACCTGCTCCTGCACACCTGGAGGGTTCAACAGCACTCACATGGCAAGAAATGTGCCATGGTAACCTTCATGGACAACTGCAGATCACACAAAGATCTGGCACATCCACTCACCCACCCATTCCATACGAAACACTGATTCAAGTTTACATATGTGTATGGAACTGCTGGCCATCTCACACTACTTTTTTGGTGTTCACTGCATGTGTAGTTTTACACTTCTTAAAATGATGTCTACAATGCTCTGTTTAGCATTCTGCAGAAAAGCACTGCCTATCAGTACGTGTCTTATCAGCAGGTGCAAGAATCTGTAAAAGGGAAAACAGTGAAATTCTGATCTCTGACAAGTTCTAAAAACACACAAGGTCCTAGAGAATCTTTATTCTTGTAAATGAAGCATGCTATGAATGCATTCCCAGCTAAACGCATTTTTTAAAATCTATTCTTATTATGAGGACAAAAGATAATTGAATCAGTGAATGGAATCCATAATACTGGAGGTAATCTGAGGCATGACAAGGTCCTACACACACTTAAAGGAAGAACAAAACAAAGCAAACAGGTGGCTGGAGCAAGAACTCTACCAGGGAAAAGCATGACATTGTATGAAAAGCTCTGGATGCTTATATTCAGAGAGGGGTAGAGGTTTATACTGCAAGATCCCTGTTAAGGGTCAAATACTATGGAATTTTATCCCTAGAAAGGCATTAAGGAGGATCTCAGATCTGAATACAGGGGAGAAAAGGATGAGAAATACAGTTAATGCAGTATGACATTAAAGATGACATGGTCTAAAGGAGTTAATGATAAGAACATCTAGTAAATAGCTTAACCATTCCTACATATGCATGAAGAGCAACTTGGCAGGTCACAAGCAATCCTGCCTGACCATCAGGAACACTTCTTTTCTTCCAAACAAGCAATAAGCCAGTAAGGCATTTTACTGAGTCCTAACAACCCTCAAAACAACCACCTAACTCACACCAGAACGAACTCTCCGTCTGCATAGAGTCCTCTGAAATCAAAAGATGTTAAAGTACAAGATTTAGGCATAAGAAGTGATACTTGTTTTTCAGTTATGGATCATATCACTATCTGTGTGTGTCGTACAACACAACACAGGGATTTCAGTAGCAGGGACCCTTATGTCTGAGTAGGAGTGCAACAGAAGTGGACAAGGAGGCACTCCTGATTTATGACTCAAAAACAAGAATGAACTGGCTCAGGAAGACAGTCTGTGGCAGACTTGGCAGAAGCAACTGTAAGATGATGAAATTTAAGACTCGAACAGATCTGAAGATGGAAAATAGCAGACCTTGGACTTCAGGAGAACAGACTATGGCTGGTTCGGAAAACTCACTGGCAGGATCCTGTGAAAAGCTGCTGTGAAGGGCAGAGGAGTGGGCTGATCTTCAAAGATATGTTCAAAGCACAAGAACAGTCTGTTCCAGTTAGCTATCAAGCTGTTCCAGTTAGAAATTGAGCAGGAATGGCAGGAGCCAGTTGCCTAAATGGGCAACCTCTGCCTCAACTCACCACAAAAGGTAAAGGTAAAGGTAAAAGGAACATGAAAGCTGAGTTGGGTTACCCAGCAGGAACCTCCCAAACCAGAAAAGATGGGATTGGGAAAACCAAGCTCAGCTGGAACTGAAACTAGCCAGGATTATGAAGGGATATAAGAGACTCCAACACAACATGTGAAAGTATCTTTATAGTGAAACATGCTGACATGGACTGCACAGAGGAATTAGCAGGCGAGTGGACAAGTTGCTGCAGTCCCAGCCAGTGGTTTTAAGTTCAAAGCTGACACACTGGAGGACAAGGTGGCTTCTATGAGTGACCCAGACAGGATGAGTAATGAGTTGACAGGAAGCTCACAGTTCAACAACAGCAAGTGCAGAGTCCTGCAGCTGGGATTGAACAGCACCACACAATGGAATAGGATGCATTCACCAGCTAGAAGGCACCATGAGAAAGAGGACCTGATAGCCCTGGTGGACAACAAGCCAAGCAGAGGGGAATGAGGAGCCAGCTTTTGCAGTGACTGTGTGAGTACATGCTGGTAAATGCACAGCCAGTAGATTGAGTGATATAGATTTCCTCCCTGATCTGCCATTTGTGAAACCATATTTGGAATATTATGACTAACTTTGGGGTCCTCAGTGCACAAAAAATACTAAATATTCCCTAGCTTCATGGAAGACCACCAAGATGCTCACATGATGCTCAAGAGAAGCTGAGAGAACTGGAATTGCTCAGGTTAGGGATGGATAAATGGTTGGTCTCAACAGAAGCTGAAATGAGGTTTTATTTCTAAGGGGTACAAAGTGAAAGGACAAGAGTCACCAGACACGACGAAATACCAGAAATCCTATTTTGTAGGAAAAGAATAGTAAGAATGGAGGAAAGGTGCAGACTGTCAAGTGGAGCTAAAAAACTCCATCTTTGGAAATTCTCAAAATTCAGCTGCACAAGAACCTAAACGATCCGATATAACATCAAAAGTGGCTTGACTTTGAGCAGAGAGTTGGACCAGCTGACCTCCAGAGATCCTTCCTAACCTGTGGAACACAAAAACACAACTGGAAGTTTCTTCTGAGGAAAAGACTGGATGTGACATGGAAGGGGAGAGATTAATGTTACAATGAGGGAATGATCTGCTAGTAAAGTTGTAAGGACAGAGGCAATTAAAATCTCCAAAAGTAAACAAATCTGCTACATTCAGTGTACTTATAAGACCAAAGTAATCCAGTATGCCAACAGAAAGAGGAGTTGAGAGAATGTTTTTTCCATACAGAATAATGAAAGCCTAGACCAAGAGCACAGGAAAGCAACAGTGCTTCACCCACACCAAGTATATTATTTTTGTTAATAGTCTTAATTAATTGTGCAGATTGCAAAGGGAATGCTGTGTTTGGAACTCCAGATCACAAGCCCTGGCACTAGACAAGGAAGATAAATACAAATTCACAGGAAGCAGCAGTAGAGAGAGAGTATCAGCAGACTGAAAGTGACAGAGAATGTGCAGTTACATGTTTGACTATAATGTTACATCTCATTAGACACAGGAATGACATGAATTTATTTGAAATGTTTCTGACATGTTTCAATGTTTTCAAATATGTGAAATGAGCAGGGATCTAAACACATGAAAAAGCAGTGTGCAGTTTTATGCAGCTCAATATCTGAGAAGAAACTCACAGGAATACTTCTGTATAAGGTAGAAACCATAAACAAAGTTCCTACATCTCCAGTGAAACTCTTCAAGCATTAAATAAAGGAAACAAGCAATGAAAAACCCAAAAATATATGAAACAACCATCAAAACAACCTAGTTTTATCATCCCTGTGAAATGCTGAGATGGAAAATCCTACTTGCTTAGAATAGAATAGAATAGAATAAATTATAGCCCTTTCAGTTCAAAGAGACCCACAGCGACCACCACTGACCATTTCAGGATTGACCAACAGTTAAAAGTTGTTCAATGCCTCTTAAACACTGACAAACTTGGGACATGGATTGTCTCTCAAGGAAGCCTGCTCCAGTGTCTGACCACCCTCAAAGAAAAGAAATGTTCCATGATGTCTTGTCTGAACCTCCCCTGGTGCAGCTTTGGACCATTCCCATATGTCCTGTCACTGCATCCCCAGAAGCAGAGCTCAGCACCTCCCTTCTCCACTTTTCCCCTCTTTAGAGAGTAGTGAGGTTACCACTCCTTTAAAATTTAATAATCTCAGTTAATAATAGTATCACATAGGGATGCAAATGTTGTGAAGGTATCTGTAACACAGATGGGTTGTCTATTTTGGCATAAAATCTTATGGATATGGAACAGATAATCAATGCATGGAATGAAAAAAACTGGGGTGCAAAAAGACAAGCTTTGATTAACCCTGAAGCCACATCATAATTGCAACATACTGGATCATAAGATTTAGTTCACATATCACATAATGTGATCTAAGTCAGGGTGCAGGAGACCTTTCCAACAGCAGCCTTCTTATAGTGGTCTGAACTTTCAGATTTCACACAGATGAGTTTGAAAGTTTTGGTATCTGTTTGCATGTCTCATGAATTTGCAACAGCACAAAGCCCAGCAGAAGGAAAATGTTATGTTAAAGGAAGACATTAGATGGACACCCCAGCCCCAGGATGCAATGGAATCTTATAGAAATATTGTGACATTTAAGTAAAAGTCCTAAAACATGAGAATACCATCACCTATGACTCAGTTAACACAGGAAGGACCAGGAATGTTAGATACAAAGAGTCTTTAAAGACAACTTTTGATTTACTATTTGAAAATGGCACTATAACTTTTAAACAAATTAAGTTTCACTTTCTGAAAGGGCAGAGTGTTTGGATCAGTCACTGACAGCTGGCAGCAAGAATGCGGCTGAAGGTTGCAAACATTTGTGAAAATTGAAAAAATACCTGTCTAGGACAGTAAAGAGGGATGGAGAGGAAGGAAAACCCCAAACTTTTCTGCCTTTTAAGGTAAAAAAAAGTTCATATGCAGGTTATTTTCTCAAAAAAAAAAAAAATGCATATCAAGCAGTTCTGGGAAGTGTACATATGATGAATAAAATTTCAAGGGAGTACAATTTTACCCCACAGATCAGACACAGTCAGTCAATGAGTGCTGCTTTGAAGTATGTTAAGGCAAAAGTTGCCGCCCTAGGCAGAAGTCCATCCAGAAGTTAAACTGAAGTACAGCCAGGAAGTGCTGCAATATCACAGCTGAACAAAACCAAACAGAAAGCACAACAGAAAGACTGAAGTAATGAGGGGTGCATCCATAGTGTCTCGTCAAAGGTGTGTGAAGAAGAAGAAAAAGAAGAAGAAGAAGAAGGTGCTGGAGGCCTTGCAGAATCAGGAACAAGAAGGCACAGCTCCAGAAAGGGTAATGCTTCCTCGCTCAGAGAAAGAAAAGGGGAACATAAGAACTATGTTCTCTTGCATAGATGGAAAAGAGCAGAACACAGGGAAACAGAAAGCAGCAGCCCTCTCTGGCTTACAGAGAACACATCCCTAATGTAATGAAAATACATTACAATACATCAGGGCTGAATTCCTTTGTATCTACCAAGTACCCAAAAGGGAATGTGGTTAATGACACTGACATATAACTTGTTTATACATGTAAGACATTCTGTCTTACACACTGTGGCTTCCATGCTCTGCTTGGGAAAGTTGGTTATTTGATACCTCTCCCATCCCTACTCCTACCAGAACAATATCATTAAGAACAGAACTGGAGCCCAGCCTGCTAAGGCGACTGTGAAGACCTGGCAGGGAGCTGCCTTAGAGAAGCCAAGAGAAAACCAGAGGAGCAATTAGCTCCTTAACTCAGTGGAAGTTCTACAGTGCACTAAATTTCCAAGACAGCAAATGGCATCTGACATTTCATGAGTGCTGCTGACAGGAAGCCCAGAGCACACAGAGCTGCAGCCCTGGGAGGCACTCACACCACACCGGGTAACAGCAGTTCCTGTCAGTAACCACAAGGCTGGGCAGGATTCAGCAACTTCAAATGACATAACAAAATGCAAGGGAAGGAACCAGAACTGTTGATTTTGCCATAAATTAATCTTCCAAGTAAGCAGTGTCTTCTTGGAGAGGAAAATGGCCAAAGGAACTTTCCAGGGAATTTATTCAGGGAGTCTAGAAAAACTGGTGCACAGGTGTCACATCTCTACTAGAAGTCCCTTCTACTGTAAATACATCCACTGTTACTACACTCTGCAAGTCTGCCAACCTACATAACATCAGCAAATCATTTTAACAACACAAGTTTCCAACTGTTGAGTGATGCTTAATAATGCATAGAAAATCACCAATCCATTTAGGGAGTCAAGACTTCTGGGTTGTACAAGGCCTGTTGATGGTACCCCTCTCTATGCTGCTATTTGGACTTGCTCAAAATCCATTTTTCCTTGCCCTTCTATTCATGATGATAAGATGATAAATGATTAAAATGTTTCCAACTATTGCTCAAACCTGTTATTTAACTATTTCAGACTAAGTTGCATCTGAATGGGAGACCACCAAAAAAGGCACAAACCACTAAGACATGATTTAACACTTGGCAAATCTTAGACAGCAGCAAAAATTGACTTGGAAGAATTTACTCAACCTATTGTCTTTGCCTGGATGACAGAAGAGGAAAAGACCAAGAAAGATTTGTTATACCAATCCCATGCTGAAAAACTCAGCTTCCTTTTCTAAAATAAGCAAATTAGTTTTTGCTCTCAGAGGAGCAATGAGATTCCTCTCATTGTTTTGGGAATTAAATATTGCATTACACTTTTCTGTTCCATGAATATGCTAAAAAACAGAGCATTTAAATCAGAACCCAAACAGCTGATTAAAGCAACAGAAAAGGAACAAAAAGACTGAAAACGAATGGTTGTATTATGTCATATATTTGATGTGCCTCTTATAACAAACACAGGCTACACTTTGGTTCAGTACCTTAAAGAAAGTGGTAAGAAATCAGAATAGTAAGGCAAAGCAGGCAATTAAAGAGTTTCTTTCATATTAAAGAAGTGAAGAGGTTGCTTCAGCAAAGTGGTCACAGAAACAGAATACACCTAACTCCTATGGTATGGACAATTAATAAACTGCCTTTGTGAAATAGTTGAAACATTTGAGTTTCAGCTTGCAATAAGGAATAGAGCAGAACATAAATTAATGTCTCAGCTGCAGAGCTAGATATTTCACTTTTAAATTAAAAAAAAATAATAATAATAAAACATTAACCTGAATAGTAATAACTTGATGTAGGTTGGAAGCAGGGTGTATGCAAACCCCTGGGATTGTGGTGGGGAAAAGAAAATTCATCTCTCAAAGTGTTATTGTGGAAGAACTAAGTGATTAAACTGACTGAAAGTGCGATGATTATTTAGTGTTTGCCACAATTTCTGCAGAATTGTGTAATGTGGATGAGAAGAATCACAGTGACTCTGCCTTAGCTGCCTCACTGTGCAGCACAGTGTAACTCCCAGGAGGCCCTGCCACCTCTCCGTGCTGGCCTCAGGAAGCCTTGGGGAGGGATGCAGGCTCCAGGCCCCGGGCACAGAGTGCTCACAGAGTTTGTCAGAACCTTTTGACAGCAGTTCTCAGCTAGGCATTTGTGGCAGTTCTTCAGATGCTGAGAAAAATCACAAGAGACAAGAACTCACTGTTCCTTACCCTAAGAAGGCAACAACTTACAGTTCCATAAATTCTCAATACAGTTCCCAACTTTTCTTCCAAGCCCTAGGTGGCAAAAGACTTCAGCAAGCACGTGCCACACTCTTTCCAGTGATACTTACTACCCTCAGAACAGTTTCCAAGAAGGCCTGAGCTATGGGTTTAGCAATTTTAAACTGCATAAAATGGCGATGTCAATAAGAACCCATTTGTTGTCCTGTTTTTTCATGTATCTGAGTGGCTCATTTTGTGCTAGCACAAGTATCAGTGAAGTGAAATGAAAATCAGAAACTGGTCTTTGCTTTTATTTTGCCTGACTAGTTTTAATAAAAAGAAAAAATGAAACCTGACTCTCTGCATTAACTCTGCTCAGTTCCCCTGTGTGGTATATAACAAAGCGTACAACCACCTGTGTCGGAAAAGACTTTGAAATTAATCACTACGGCAGGATTGATTCTTTCTTTTGCAATATCAAAATATTATCAGCCTCAAATGTTTACAAAATTCTCATTTCACAATTTATTTTTTCCCTAAGTGTAAATCTCAGAAGATATGCAGCACTATTTTTATTCTCTCCCAGTCAGTACAGAAACAGGAGAGAAGTTACATGCGTGATTCTTAAGAAAGATGCACTGTCACACGATATGTTGACCAAAATAGTCAGGTGTTGCATGCTATTTTAGAGTTCAACAGGTAAGGATGAAGTGCACCCTTAAAAACTCACTATTAGCTACTGTGAATTTTTTTGTAACACATCTCAAAATTCTTTTAACTAGTACCTGGCTATTTCAACAGTATACTGTCAGCTGATTTAACAATAAAAAGGCAGTAACAAAATTGTGAACAAAAATGTATTTTCATGTTTGACATTGCTGGTAGCCCTCACATCACATAAAATACTTAAAAATATTTACTACAACAATGACAGAGAACCTAGAGGAAGAGAAGGAGCAACAGCCTTCAAAGAAAGGGAGACAGACAGCCAGAATGTTCAGGGGCTGCAGAAAACAAACAAACAAACAAACAAAAACCAATCAAATAACTACCAAAACCCCAACCTGTTCCTGAGGCTAAACTGTTTTCCCACAGTTACTATTTCTAATAGTCAAAAGACACTGGTCTTCTGATCAGAGAAAGGCTTCTAATTTTGTTCTACTGCAAAAATGGTAATGTAAAAGCAAATATGACCAGCTTATAGAATTTGCTGATAAATGTTATTTATGTCATTTTCATAGGGGTTTCCCCTCACTTTACACATACAATGCTCAGTTGCAAATAACAAAGGTACTTAAAATGCTGTTACAGACCCTTTCTTTCACAATTATCTGCTTGAATTCCTTTGAACTCAAACTGAAAATAATCCTAAGGTATGCCTCTATGTCCTAATCTGCTCCTTCTTATTTACTGTATTTTAAGTGATTTCTCCAAATGACACTTTACTGGCAACTGTAAAAGTTGTATGTCCATCTACGGGGCTCTGCTAAACCTGATGGAGAAGCACTGAATTCCAAAAAAAGAACACAAATTACTTCACCTGCCACTTATTCAAGTGAGGACTGTGAGTGGATATTCCAAGGAGTCCCAGGGCAACACAGAGCAGACACACACACTTCTTAGCAGTAAAGAATTTAAAAGGAATTGCTAATAAGACTGCATCTGCAGAAACCTAACCCCAACATATGCAATAGAAAAGGTATTTTTAAAAAAATATATATATCTCAAAATAAACTCATTACAAAGCATAGTTATTCCAAGAAGGCTTACTCACTGCAAATTACAGAATAATCTGCTATTTTTACAAGAAAAAAATGTTCTGCTTATATACAATAATAGAAAACACTTCAAAACCCACAAAATACAGATATTCTGATGTAGAATCATATGCTTAATAAACTCCAAGATCCTGTCTACAATTAATTTGGGGAGAATCACAAACACTTATGCAAAGGTTCAAAAATGAACACACAGATTTTATGGTACAACAATTTAGTTTTAAAAACCCACAGAGGGCTTCTCTGTTAGATTAAATATGACTATACAAACAATGCTGACATTCAGTGTAATGAATTCCTGAAGAATAATAACTAGGATATACGTAGCAAGTTATGTAGCTACACATACGTAAGATAAGAAAATAACATAAAAGGGTTTTCCATTTTATGTTATTTAGGAAAATAAAAATCTGGTATTTTCCAACATATTTTCACAATATAACAACTCCCTTAATGAAATTTCTCTGTGTAATAAATGGTCCTCCAAAACCTTCTGAAGCTCAGATTTATAAAAGTCAGTAGAATAACCATGAGTAATGCATTTCTGACCACTCCACTTCTCATGATTGAGATCACAACAATGTCATTGTTTAAGAGTCACTTGCAACTTACATCTATTTAAAAAATTATCAATGTTCTTGTTCTTCCTCAGCGCTGGATAATCCAGATCAAGGACCAAAGAATTCAAGCCATCCTGAAAAAAAAATAAAACCAAGTTAATTGAATTCTAAAATCTAATTAACAACTTACTTAAAATTACTGCACTGAGACTGATTATACATTATTCAAGCACGCATTACATTCCTAGTAGGCAAATCAAACAAGCTCTCAAGTATGTTTATAAACCAGCAGAGGAGCCAACACACACTGACTGGCTCCAAGTTCTATAAACAGTACAGCTATATTACCACTGATTAGTGGCACTGGGACTTAAACTGGAGTAGTAGTTTTAATCTTAATCAGTAAGTAATCTTACTCATTAAACACTGATTTAAGATACTGAGTTCAGACAATCCATTTTTCTTACTTCTGTTACACTTTTCCTGCAAAGACTTTATGTTTGTATATCCATATTATTGCTTTCATCAAAGTCTCTCTACATTCTCATTCTGGACATTCAAAAACCAACCACACATTTTTCTTGGAAGCAAGACATGGCCTAAACCTAAGAAGACAATTCACCATGTAATTCAGGCTCACAACACTAAAATACCTTTTCTAAGTGACTCAACAGAAGATGAGCCAGAACTCTACATGCCGTTCTGCTACCCATTATCAATGCCTCAGCAGAAAACAATTGAGACTTCTAAAATGGCAAGGGATGAGATCACCAAAGCTAAACTAAAAATAGTATTTTAAATGCCTGTTACAAGACTTTACTCAATTCCATCTTTCTGCAACCTGGAAAAACTTGAGAAAATTACTCTTCAAACACAGAGACCTCTCCAGTTACACAGGGACAAATAAAACTAAAAATTAGTTGCGGATACTAAGAGGAGTATACACCATTCATTGTCAGCAGCTCCAGTGTTCAGCCAGAACTGGCAGCTTTACTCATTGCCCTAAGAACAAAATCCTGAGACTGCTTTTTCAGGTTTTTGAGCCTTGACAGGGCATCACAGAGATTTAAATCAGAGACCGCATCATGTTTATTAATAGGCAGCCAACAGAACTAGACAGCTTTTTGGACTTCTTCATAACTGAGGCTATACAACCTGCTGATTTTATATTTTTATTAATATATCTGGGAAGGTTTACTGCAAATATTACTAAAATTATTACAATATTCATCTTAATAACATATCTGGAAAGATTCAAAGGCAATGCCTAAGGTTATTAAATACATTTTGAATGCCACTTTGTCCTAAATAAGCTCATACAAAAATAAGACCACCTCATCCATGGCAATATCAGTTTACATCACAAAACACATTAATGGTTAAGACAATTTCCAAAATGAAGGGATTTTATTAATTTATTTTTGCCTCCTGACGAATGAAAGTGTCTTGGAAAGTGTCACAGACACATTGATGGAGTATGGGTTAGACAAATGATTAAAAGCTGGTTGAAAGACTGGGCCCAGAAGACTGATCAGAGGCACAAAGTCGAGTCAGAGCTGGTCACCAGCAGTGCACCCCTGCACTGGCACTTCTCTTGGACAGAGAAGGTTTTCACAAAGGTCAGTAAGGGGAAAAGCCAAGTCCTGCTGCTGGAGAAGAAAAACCCCAGGTACCAGGTATAGGCTATGGCCTGACAAGCAGGAGAGCAGCTTTGCAAAGAAGCACTAGAGGATCCTGGTGAACAATAGGTTCCTTTCTACTCTGCACTGATGAGGTCCCATCTGGAGTGCAGTGTTCACTCCTGGTCTCCCAAACCATCAAAGGTAGGGATCTACTGAAGTAAGTCCAGCAAAGGGCCAGTAAGATTAAGGCACTAACACATTTCCCCAAAGAGGGAAGGCTCAAAGAGCTGTGACTGCAACCTGAGAAGACTGAGGTCAGGGGAGCTCATCAGTGTCTGCAAGCAGCTGATGGGAAGGACAGAAGAAAAGGCACTGCTCATTGACAGGACAAGAGACAATGGACATAAGGTAAAACATACAAAACTCTATTTGAACACCACACTTTTTTCCTTCTGAGAGTGGTCAAGTACTGGAACAAATTGCCCACAGAGGCTGTGGAAGTCTCCACCAGTGGAGACATTCAAAATCTGACATGGCATGGTCCTGGACAACCTACTGTGGTAGTCCCTGCAGTGAGCAGGGTGTTGGACTAGACAATATCAAGAGGCCCTTGCCAATCTCAAACATTCTGTAGCACCTATGGTATTTCCACTGCTGCACAGAAAAAAGGCGGAATTTTACTCTTGACTCCATGTAACCTTAACTGCTATAACGGTTTTACACATCAAGTTTCAGAACTTCCTACCAGAAAGAAGTATAAGACAGTGTAAATAAGCAAACAGCAAGTCAGTCAAGAAGGCACAGTAGTTGCTTTAATAACAGTAAATATAGGAGTTATTTCAGCCTTGACCATAACAGCTCCTGCAAGACAAATTAAGGAGAAAGGAGTGATGCACCAGGACATCATACTCATCTTTCAAAGGGACAGAAGACTTATTTCTAATTTGTATGACACTTTCACAGAAGATACAATAAAACCAAACCAAAGTAACAAAGTTTTTATATACTTATGTATTACTCACTACGTGAAATGCACAGTTAATGCCCAATAATCTGGACAAATCCAACAGAAAGTACTAATTTGAAATGACTTCCTGCAAAATAGCATAAGAGAATCCATACTACTCTTGATTTGGCAAACACCACCTTCAAAAAAGGGTATCTCATTCTGCAGCACAGTGTGTCTGCAGAAATATGGATCCTCACCTGCAACATGTAGACAAGGACCAAGCTGAATGCCCTGACAGGAACAGCTGGGCCACCTTTTAGAATTTCACTTAGCTTAATGAAGTATCAATTCCAACTAGATGGCAGTCTACACCAAACTCCAACATTATTCTTTCACTGCTACTGAAAAAATACTCTCATGATCACAAACAACTGGGTAGACACTTTACTGGATATGTAAAAGCAGTCTGGGCTAACAAAAATAAGGAAGGCATATTTTTGTTCTTCTTATATTGGAGGGTAAGAGAGGTGAAGTCACCTGATGTCTTAATGCTTTTCATGTGAAGATATTTTAGTGGTTGACCAAGAAACCCATATATATGGGTTTATATATGTGCTTGACTTCTATTTCATGCAAAACATCAGGGGGAAGAATAGCTATCACCCAAAAAAATTTTAGTGAAGTTGGATTACAAGGCCCAAACCAATCATACATATTCCAATTTAAGCTGAACTCTATGTTATAATTTCAGATGTCATTTTTTTCTCCACACGTCATTCCGATTCCATGGCTTTTTTGTAGGCTACACAAACTGAGAATCATATTTGCAGCTAATTTTTAATTAGCTCTTTTTGCCTCTTTTTCATGGACTCCATGTAAGAATTTTCACAAGTAGTTATGAATGAAAGGAAATTTGAGAACAGCATGACTATTTTAGCTCTTTGGAAGTGTCCTAACTCTAGAACACAGCCAGATACAGCTAGTGTCAAAAAGAGGTGATAAGTATAATCATCACAAGAAAAAGAGTGTCATATTTTTTTTAGCCCTGTGAACAAATCTTATTATCATACTCTTTCAAAGACAAGATTTTAAGCTTTTAAACAAAATTTTAATGTAGACATTTCACGTTCATATCAACTTGTAATTTATGAAAAACTTGTCTTGCACACTAGCATTTTGTCAAAAGTTTTCTTTAAAGCTTTACATTTTCATTGAAAAACCTAGTTTATATCACTTAACAGAAAAATTCACTACAACTAAGCTGGGTCAAAAGATTATGCAGTAAAACAGACAGTTTCTGAAGAGAAGTAATCCAGGAAATGACGTCTCCTCTGTCTAGGCCTCACAGATAAGTCACTTCAACCAGGAAATATGCTATTAAAGGGATTTCACTGCTCACTTCCGCTTTCTGCTATTACAAAAGACTGAACTAACAGGCCAAAAATAGCAGCTTCCAAGCAAATGCATCACTGGCAAAGATAGATCTGCCCCATCAAAAGCCTTTTGCTGATGGCAAACATGCTGAAATGTTTTCCAAGAGAAAAGACCAAACTTGATAAATTTTGCAGCACCCTCCTACTACTACATAAGGAACAGAGTTCTTGGCCACTCTGACAGCAGTCACCCTCTGTGGACAACAGGGAGCTTGGCTTCCCCAGCAAGCAGTTTGCACTCTCTACCGACCTGAATGAAGCAAGAAAAAAACAGGCAAGAAAAGTTCATGAAATACATGAACTAAATGTTTCTGTTCTTCTCTGACAGAAGGGTAAGTGATAGGGAAAAATACTAGTAGCTTCTCAATCCAGGCAACCCCACAGAAGCCTTCAGCAAATGAAACCATTCCGTGCTGGTAAGAGTTTCTGATGTTAAAGTAACTGTCTGAACCTGTCTAACATTGAGATGTGCATGTAAACTCCCCTGGCTGTCAAAATCAGCTTTGGCTATTTTGTTTTATTCCTCACTTTCATGATGTGAAAAAAATAAAACACAAGGCCAAACAGTGCATGACTGAACAGAAAAGGCATCAGTTACTTCAGAAAATAATTAATAATCCTGCGATAACTGGAAAATATAAAAAGCCTAGTGAAAGATGTCCCTGCCTACAGACAAGGAGCTGGAATAGATGATCTTTCAAGGTTCCCATCCAACCTACACCCATGAGATCCTACAGAAATTCATTCTACCATTATTTATTAAAAGTTTTAAATATTCCTTTCCTTTTCCAAATCACCAAATAAAATTTAATAAAATATGCTGCAGCAAAAAGTAAGAATAGAAAAGTCTTGTAACATCACATTGCATTCTTCTAACTGGGCCTAAATTCTTTTAAAGGCAGAACTACCCAAACCTACGAACACAGAAAGTAAGCATCTAATGACTCTTCCCAGGACTAAACCTCCACTATGTTCTTCCATATGCCAATGGGACCCTTAAATAATTCTGGTCTTTCCTGAGCAATTACTTCTTTCCATAACACAGAAGCTACATTTGGATGCAAGGTGAACTGCTCAGTAACAGCCTACAATAGGAAAAACAACCGAAAGGTCATATGCAAGGCAAATAC